GATACATTCCCATACCTCATTTCAGTACCATTAAGTGTTTGCTGGCCCACTTTCTACAATTACTTATCTAAAATAGCCTTGCAGCTATAATCATTAAGCTATTTTGTGCTATTGAAGCAGCACTGCTACTCCGGTGGTTTTGCCACTGTGCACTGTGTCAACAGGTAGACAAACCACCATTAGGGCTTAGGAGTGCCAGAGACAAAAACTCCCAGGCATTCCAGCTCAGAGCCAAGCGTGACTCACCAAACTCCAGGCCTCCCCTGGATTGCTGCATAAATCCAGCGCCTATTTATGCAAAAAAAGCATTTTTTTCCAAAGCTATTCAAATGCCAGAAATAAGAGATTATTATGACTTCTTGTCATGTTGAAAGACAGGTGGAGGAGAGCACAATGTTTGTGTTGGATTCAGATGTCTGCTGGAATCATTCCTGTCATTGCTAATTGATGTTGCATCTGTCTTTAGATTGTGTCTATTGGAAAAAAAAAAGAGCTGAAGATCTTATTCAGGGAAATAATTACAGTTGTACATTGGTAGATGTAAAATTAAAGTACATGGAGGGGGAAGGGAGCCACGTCCTATAATTTATCAAATTCCTACATCCCTGAAAAATAATTAGATGCCAGGCAGCATGCAGGCCCTGCTGCAGAGGCTACTGTCAAGGGGATAGCAGTGGTCAAAAAGAGGCCACTGGCTCTCATTATTCCATCCATTTTTGTTCTTCTGTTGTGATTGGAGTATTAGTTTCCAACTGTCTGGAGACAAGGCAGACAAACAATGGCAGGCTTTATTAAGACCTAGGGACATAATCCCCAAGCACAAGCGCAATTGCACAAGTAAGCTGGAGAGGGGGGAAATGGGAATTCTGCTTATGTCTGGCTTTCAGGAATTTCACCCTTCAAAGTCCTTCAGCATGGTACAGTTAGAGGCAGTACTAAATCTGCATCACTTTGACAAACATGCATTGAAGGAAGCCATTGAAGGTTATTAATGGACACAGCGTATGAAGTAGCTCTTCAATAGAGACCTTATATCCCAGTTGTACAGCTTGGGGTTTGGTTTTTAACTTTTCCTTTTTTCTTGCTCCCTTTCATGACGGTTGTGTGGATGTTAGCTAAATCCTTCACAGCTCCATTTGTAACTTTTCATACCAAGAACTAACTTTATCCAGTAAAAATTTATTGGTTTATATAGCCAGACACCAGCTTATATCACATTGAGTGACCAGACACATACCTCTAGCCTCTGTGCAGAACTGGACTACAATATATGATATATATTACTACCATAAAGCATACGTGACTTGAGGAGTCTCCATCAGCCAGTGCTCTTGCCAGACACACTTCCTCCTCTACCTCTATCCCTGCTGCTTTCCTTTTCAAGGTACAATCTTCAGCTCTCCATTGGGAGATACCTGCATAACCTGATTGCCTCACCCTTGGGAAGTCTGGGCTAGAGGTACTCCAGGTATTCCTGATGTCCCGGACAGCAGCTGTTTTGCCACTTAGTAGTAAAGGGCAAAAAAATGTCCTGGAAGAGCCCTTAAGGAGAAAGATCCTGGAACAGCTCTCCCATGTAGCTGTCTGTTAAAGGAGTCATGACTGTTCTGGTGGGTTCAGTTCATTCCAGACTGGGTTTTTCACAATACACACAGCAGCAACTGAGACACTTTGTGCTGCTTTTCCTACCCCATGTGTGAGCTAAGGAAGACAGTGTAGGGAATGGGGAGTGAAGCCGCTCCTGGGTCTGCCTGCTACATTCCATGTACAGAGCAGTCCAAATGAGAGCAGTGGAAATCCTACTGGAGAGCAGACAGTGTCTGCAGGAATCCAGTACCCCGAATCCACACCAGGATGTGGAGGCTTTGTGGCTGCTGTCTCACAGGCTGAGTTAAAATCCACAGCAAACTCAGCTCTTACCTTTGCTCTGGCTTATTGCATGAGAGCGTGAACGTCCTTTGCCCACGTACAGTGGATAACTATAAATTTATGTAAGTTATGTGAAATTCATTTACAATTCACCCCCAGAACATCGTTTAAGGTCTTGAAAGTGTAATTTTATACTTGTATCTACAATTGTGAACTACAGCCTGAGGCAGTAAGATAATTTCCTGGTATCTAGGCAATGGAGTTTATGTATAGAACCGCTTCCTGCAGCTTCAAGGGCTTCTTCTGGTAGTTGTCTTTCTAATTCTATAGCATGCTTGGGAAACAAGGACTTTGTCCGTAAGTCAGAAACCTGCGGTTGTAACGTGAGATCACAGAGATGTGGCAACTTCAGCATCTGTTTGTGTTTCTGGCAATGGAAAACTAATTGCTTATCAGAAATGTTCATCAGCAAATTCTGTAAGTAAATACGAGAGTTTTCCATTAAAGCTGCTTGCTGCTTCGCTGACTCCAGTTGTAAAGTAGCTGGGAGGGATGGACCCCCCTTGCATATGCTTCAAGTTAGGGGATTGTAAAATTAAGGTGCTTTTTTTTTACCACAGTTCCTTAAGATATGCGTGTCCAGATGCAATTTGAACCTCTCAGTTGTATTTGCTATTCAGTGTGTGTAGGAGCCTAAAAAATGAAGTCTTCCACGAGAATTAACTTAGAGTAATACAAAGTAATAAAAATTGATTGCGGCATCTTCTTGGTTGTCTTCAGAAAATGTACAAATAAATAACAGCTATAATGGCTATCAGTGTCTTCTGGAAGGTTTCCTCTTCCCCTCTCTCTACACTTCCTTACAACAATCGGCTTCACAATGACTCATTGCCTTCGTTAGGAGCGGGAAGACATCCCTCGTTATTCATTACTAAAGGAAGGACTTTGCTGCTGCACGGAACAGCCACGGCATTCTAATGCAGCTACCTTTCGAGAGAAAGGAGCCAATGTCATTCTTCCCCAAACTTTGGCAGCAGAGACAAGAAATAATGCTGTTTAATTGTCTCCACCTATAAATAGCCCGTTGACAATGAGAGAATTGCGGTTTTAATGCTGCAGTCAGGAGGAAAGGAGACACATTCTTCTACATTTGTGTCTCACTTCCATTTCTGGGAGCTCACGCTGAGACCCTCACAACGGTAAATGATCGTATCCGTGGCTGTATAAATACCGAGCACATTTATTTATTTACGATTTATTGTATGAGGTTTTAATTACAGAGCACTGTAGATGGATTACATAAACGTACACACAAAGCATTTACTGTTTAAGTAATCCAAGGGTATGTTTGATTTCAAAGGGAGTGGGGCAGACTGTGTTAAAATGATTGTTTTTCTCGATTTTACTAACACAAATGTTCCTTGCCTCTTTCTTCATGACTTTTTTTCCCATATTTTTTACTTAGATATCAAGGGATTGAGCTTGTTTTATGTTTTTACTGCATTTTAATGTGGTTTTTATTAAGCTCCACAGCATGGACCATGCCTTTTCATAAATAAGGCTAGGATCATGTATTACTAGAAACCCCATCTCAAACTGTACTTTTGCCAGACTTGGTTAAGATTTTCTAGGAAGGGACATTATAATTGTATGATTAATCTTCAGAAAAGGGAAATTTTGGCTCTGCAGTATTTCTTACTGTATTAACTTCAGAGATTTATAAAACTAACTTGAAACTGCACTGTAAGTGTGTTTATAATGACTTTTAGCTGATTTAATAATCCTCAAAGTTTGGTGACTGTACAGATCACAGCTTCACAAATACAGTCCATTACCTGTAGCATCCAGATGAAGTTATCAGAGGTGGAGAAAATTACTTGGGATTGTATTTCTCCTTAGCAAGGCGCTAATCCAACCTCTGGCTGAGGCTGGGGCTCTCGGAGCCCTTGTCTGCATTTATCCCATTATGCAGTGGGGACATGTGCCTGGATGATAAAGAACATCTTCATGTTGAAAGCCTAGCTGGGGTGTGTGTAGACCATCAAATCTCTGCGCTTCAGTTGTAAGGCACCTGGTGTGGTAATGTTGTTAGGAAGATTTTCAAGCCAGCCTGTGATTCACTTTTTCTGTTGTTATCAGTATCTACCGTGTGCTGCTGCTGCTGTCGCCACTCCCTGCAGCTGGCACTGCTCCTCCTGGTTCATGATCCTGCAAAGCTTTTTCAATCCAAGGAGCCCTTGATCATGCAAATAGCTCTGCTAATTGCAGGTATTGCTACTGTCTTATCCCAGTGGAGTAGGAGCCTCTTGGACAAATTATGGTGCACAAGATCAAATCCTTAAGGTTACATCTGTATGTGACAAGCCATGGCACAAGGTTGGTTTTAAAAGTCACCAGTTAAAACCAGCTGAAACAATGCCAGAACCCTCATGTTAAGCTTTCTGGCTGTGTGCTTCTTTCAGTGTTTCCAAGCTTTGCTTCTCATAATAATAAATATCAAACAACAACCTTGGGAATCACTGGGAGCTGGATTAGCAGGTCTCAGTCTCCATCTAACACACAAATGATCGGCCTGTGCCCACATTAAGCCATTTGCTAGACCAGAGCTCCATTCATTAACAGAACTCGGAGAGCTCTGGGTGGATGTGGGGTACGTGCACAACAACCCACAGCACTTTATGTTGGGAAGTGCACCATACCCAACACAGAACTGAGTATGTTCAAGAATCCAAATACTGGACATGTTTTTGCAGAACCCTGATTTTTCTTTTCAGGTCTTCCAACTCACCAGTTAAGTAACCAGGCTTCAATCAACCACATATTTTCAGACTAGTTTTTTGGGCATTTTGTGACTTTAAAGCAATTCCTGACCTTCATCTCTCAGATGGCATGAAGAGTTTCTTTAATGGTGCTAAGGACTGAACAGGAGCCCAATAACACCTACAGAATTCACCTCTTTGGCACTTTCTTAATTTTCACTTTATTAAGCAGATAAAAGGATAATGATTTCCTTTCCAGGCTTCTTTGTTTGCTCTGTGATGTACTGTGAAGTATCAGTCCAGCCAAATGTTTCTTTGATCAATGAGCAGATTAAGCTGTGTGAAACTTAACGTGTGCCTTTACATCTGCAGGCATCCACTGTGACAGTATCTGCACCCAGGGCCGCTGGGGACCAAACTGCTCCATCTCCTGTAATTGTGAGAACGGGGGATCCTGCTCCCCAGAGGATGGCACTTGTGAGTGTGCACCAGGATACAGAGGACCCTTGTGCCAGAGAAGTAAGATTTTCCATAGATCATAGAGTTATAGGATTGTTTGGCTTGGAAGGGACCTTAAAGCTCATCGAGTTCCAACACCCTGCCATGGACAGGGACACCTTCTACTAGAGCAGCTTGCTCCAAGCCCTGTCCAACCTGGCCTTGAACACTGCCAGGGATGGTGCAGCCACAGCTTCTCTGGGCAGGCTGTGGCAGATGTGGTGGCAGAAGCAGAGGCAGAAGTGCTCATTTATGATGCCAGGCAGAGACACAGGTTTCTGAGCTGCTTTAGCTCATGGCTTCCTAAAGGCAAAAGCTAGCAGGGATGAATACTTCCACATACCAAACTTGGCAGGATCTGGGCAAAACCAGACTTACAGTTAAGTTACGGTGGAGTACAGAATAGCTGTTAAACACAGTCAGCTATGACCCATCACATAATGACAAAATAGCAAGACAATGTTTTCTTATAGGCCAGAAACACATCAGCCTGAAATAGCTCCCGTCTGATGCTCTGCTGCTACATATTAAAATGTGCCGAGGAGATAAAAATCCTGTCATTTGCTCCATGTGGGAAGCTGTATTTTCCCCTTAGGGACTCTTAATCACTGGTGCAAACTACACTCAAGCATCTTCCTGTGTAAACAAGAAATGGGTTTGTCTGTCTTTTCTGCAGCAGCTCTTGTTCTTCCTGTAAGACGTTGTGCATGCCCAGTTCAAATATCCCCTTTGATTTCACCAGTTATACTTGACAGTAGATCACACTCATCTCTCAAAATAATTTGTAGCTGACAATTTTTATTTAAAGCCATTATAACAATGACCTCTAGCACTGCTGTAGTTAATGGCCTATAGGCATTTCCATTACAAACCCCGATTTCCAGGTGCTTCAGTGTATCTATATAGCTGTAAAACCTCTCTCCAAGGCTAAAATGTGGTGCTCAGAGCTTCCGGGAATTGGGGAAGAAATTGTTTTACAAATTTGCAACCTTAAGAGTGCAAAACTTCCAGAAGTTAATAGTTTCTGACCTTCCTGAGGTGAAAAAAAAACAGCTTAGTTTTATCAGCTGATGGCATGTAGGCTACAAGAGGCAAAGTGTGTCCCCAGTTTGCAACTCCAATAATGAGGCTGCTCCATGAGCATATTTGCTGAGAACCTAATGGGGAGAAATCTTCCTCCCCACTGGAGTGACAACAGAGAGGTCCTGTAGATGCTTCTGCTTTTGCCTTGTGTTGCTGAAATGCCTCTATATAAATATACAGTCAGGGAACACAGCTTGCTTCCACTTCTTCTGGGAAGACAGGATCAAGACTACCTTGTGAAGAGGATACCTCTGTAGGTGAAGGTAGCTTTAGCTTGCTAAGTTTGCTTTCAGAATCACTCACATTTTCCTCTTGGAGATGCCTTTAGAAACAGAATTTAGCCTATAACTTAGTACTGAAGATGATGCTCATCCAACTTGTTCTGTCTGTAATCAGGATTACATGAGACACCGGGATAGTTTACTGCTTAGGACTGCCGAAATGTCTTCAGGAATGATCCAGGTTGTTTTATAGCTTGTGCATCATCAACAAACCTGTCAGCTAAGCTCCAGCTGGAAATCTGCAGTAGTGTAAGAACCTGACACCCTCTGTGAAGAGACGAACCAAGAGAAAAACTCTCCTTAGGTGGAGAAATAGAACAGACATGATATAGTAACCACTGAGGCAGAACTATGTAACAGAGAATCACAGGAGGAAAAATAAAAACACATAAAGTCATTTTTACAGTCACTTTACAGCAATTTGACATTCCTTTGAGCTTATGTATTGCAGTGAATGTTTGGACAGTCAATGGTTTTTCATTCTACGTGTGCTTTGAAGCAACAATATGCGTTTATAAGAGCTAGTGAGCCATAATCTTGGCACTATACCTTATGTACAAATTCTATAATAATTTCAATCCAGGTTTTAATCAAATTAAACATACAGTTCATGACAAGTTTAGTCAGCTATCCGGTGTGATTACTGATGCAAATTAGGTGATTTTGTATGCTGTTACTGTAATTACCATTTTTAGAGTCTGTTCCTCACTGGGGGATGCTGCTCTGCAATGGCATGTATAAACTGACTGCCCCAGTTTAACACACCATTGAACCTAATATGTTTAGAAATCAGCTTTTGACAAGTTGTTTAGACATAAAATACTGAGGTTTTAATACACCTTCTCTGGTTTCTTAGCTTAATTTCCAAAGGAAATGGCATTCTAAGTTTCTGTTGTCTGTACAGGTATGAGGGTTTCTCTTCCTACCTGTCATAAAAGCTGTGAAATATGTGTTATTAACAATATCTGCCAGTAGGCTGTGAGGTCTTGAACATTTTAAACCCCTGTGTTTTGTAAAAGAGTTTAGCTGGAGCAGAGACTCAAACTAGTGTCAAGAGGGAGAAGCTGCTAAGAGAGCTCTGCTGTATTATTTAATAGCCAAGGAGTTGCATGAGGTAGGATGGTGTGAATGTCTGAACCACAGGAGAGCTTTACTTGGAGCTCACTCTTTATTAACATGGAATACTCCAACAAGCTTCCTAATCTCAGCTGTTCACAAAATTGTGCTTTTATAAGTTAAGAAACATTGGGTTGGGATCAAGAGAGAGAATTCTGAAGCACTTAGCAATGAGAAGAGTGGAAAGCTGTGATGGCTCATTTCGTCACTTTGTGTTGTCCCCAGTTTGTCCCCCTGGCTTTTTTGGACACCACTGCAGCCAGCCCTGCCCTCAGTGTGTGCACAGCAGCGGGCCTTGTCACCACGTGTCAGGACACTGCGACTGCTTGCCTGGATTCTTTGGTGCTCTCTGCAACCAAGGTACTGAGCCCCAGACCCCCCCCATGTCACCTCCTTTCCCAGGTTTCTGTATCTGTGACCAACCACAGGTCCCTGCCTTTTTTCCTTATTTCAGAAGTTTAAATCATAAGAAATTCTTAGCTTTAGAGGGAAAATGCAAATAGCTACTTAGTCATGCTTTCATAAATATGATGTGCTCCTGCTTTCATAAATAAAACAGGTCTGCTGCTCTGTATTGAAATGAATATGGAATGAGACACCTGCTGTAAATATATCAGCCATCCAATGGTTTCATTTCCCTTTCTGCTCAGCCTCCTGTATCCTAAGTATTGATGGCATCTTCATGTAAGAGGTGTAGATACTACTTAAGGAAAAGGCCTAATACAGATACAAAAGCCCGAACAGCCAGTTAATGCATGGAACCTTATTTACACTGTCAGGACCTGACTGGGAGTAGCTAAAATCACACGCATCCAAACACAAGTGCAGGAGACAGAAAAATTTGGAATAAGGTTGGGAAAGTGAGTTAATTTCCACAGCTGAAGAGTAGCTTCAAGTCCCCCTGATGCCCATCACCTTTCTGTGCCTTTGGAACTCAGTCTGCTCTTAACCATAGGTTTTATTTTCAGTTTTCTCCTAAAAATGCCTCCAAAATCATTTCAGTATTCTGCATTACACACTGCTGTGGGACTTTCCTATGTACAGATTTAAAGGAGGTGATTTGTAATGGCTCCTGCCCTCGTGAAGTCACCATCCCTGTAAAAATCAAACTAACACCTTTTAATGACCTGCTTTTCACTGAGGTAGGAACTGCAGACAGCACTTACACAAAATCATTAAACATAGATTAAGTATAGCCACGTTCTCATTTTCCCGTGCTGTATAGCCAGCTAAACATTGTAGCAATTACTTGGTTAAAATGAACATATTTCAGTGAATTTGTCCATTTTCTGTGAGAAGTTAGCCAGATTTCAAGTGTAACCAGGGCTAATTATCCTCTTAAGAAACCTATTTTATTTTTGCTCAGATGTTCAGCACTTCTGGTTTCCCTTTGAAATGTTGATCTATCCACCAAATTAATTGTAAAATATTCATGTCCTAATTAAAACCAATTTGTGTTGCAGTTTGTCAGAATGAGTTAACAAGTGACTTTATTTTGTAGAGAGGAAAATGCTAATTAATGGTTTCCATTAGAAAAATGTGCAAGGAGGATTTCACTTTTGAATTTTCATCTCCTCGTGCCATCTCTGTTCTGGCAGCAGGGACATTCTTCCATCACCAGCACAGGCATGCAAGGGGCTGTGTAACCTCTGAAACTGTGCAGGTTGAGGTGGTTGTGCAAAGGATTCTGAGCAGCAAACAACTAAGCAGCTGTTTTATGAATATCTTACACAATCAGGTAGCAAGATGGGTTGATAATAACTTCTTATCGCTGCTAGAACACACCTGACATCCCACGGGGCCTTTTGGAGTCCCACTTCTGGGCTTTTATGGTTAATTAACATCTCTATCTGCATTGTACAACCAGATTGCTCCTGAAGAAAGAGGTATTAGTCCTTACGTTACAGCTCCCTTTAAAAATGTTTGAGACATTTGAAGAAGTGCTTGTAGTCGGATCTCACCTCCTTAGAAGAGAGTCAGTGTGCCCGGTTACTGAAATTAATGAGAACAACCATTTTGGCAGGACAGGTTTTGTAATCCTTCTGAAGAGCATCATAGTGTATCACTGAGACAAGAGGTGCTCATACATAGGAACCCCTCTGCTAGCTCTCACTGCAGAGCCAAAGTGTTTCTTTTATAAAGTATGCCCTGTTGCACCAGTGTTTGGATCACAAATCTTTCCCTGATTCATTAGCATTCCATGCTGCAGTGCAAATCAGCTCCTATTTTAAGGAAGTCTTTTGAGAACTACTTCTTTTTGTACATATAAAAAAATCCAGCCTTCATATAAGGATGTTATCTGTCTCCATCTTAAAGATGCAACAAAAATATTGCATTGAACTGCTTTATATAGAGCTTTGGAAGTAAATACTGATGGAGCACATGTGAGAACCTAGGCTGCCAGATCATTTCAGTTTTTGCTCTTTCTGTGATATGAGGGCTTTTCTTTCCTTCTCTCTCTTTGTGTCTGTGTATTGTTCTTTTCATTGTGTCTGTATATTGTGTTTAGTTTTATCTGTTTTCAGTTAGAGAACTGTTCTGTTTAGCACACATTTTGAAAGCCCAAACCAACTTTATCAACTTCCACAGATAAGGCCATAGTTTATAGAAATGCATGCGGAACACAACAGCGTGCACGTTCTCAGGTTTCTGCCATAGTAAGAGTAGAGGATGGCATATTGTATAAAAGCAAATGAATCACAGCTCAGGATTTCAATCTATGGCTGATTCATAGTCAGGATAAATTGAGGTCACCTGCAGAGACTACTTATGAGGAAGTGAGAGGGGCTGAAGTGGTAAAACAGCTGCATAATTCAGGGAGGTGCCTTAATCACTTTTTTGACATCACTATTATTTACCAGGATACAAGTCCAGTTCCATTTGTTACATCCTTTGCAAAGATGGGCTATATGTTTTATCTTGTTTTGAAAATACATCTGTTTCTGTCAGGGAACAGAGCCAATAAGAGCACAGAAATTAAACATTTCATTTATTACCGAGCAGAGCTTTCCATCAACTTTAGCATTAAAGATTTCCAGTAAGTTGGTGGGAGGCTGGAGGTCTACATGTCTATTAATTTTATGTCACTGTGCTTAGGCTGTTGCAAGATGACTCTCAAAAAACTTTTCTTCCAACTTCAGGAGAAAGCTAGGTGGACAAACAGGAATAGATGCTGATTTTGTCAGGATGTAGCACATCTGTTTAACAGCTGTCAGTAATATATATATATATCCTTGAAAACCACATTTACAATCTAATTGAACACTTGGTACAGCAATGGGTGCTGGAGAGGAATAGGTGAACAGATGCCAAAAGACAAGCATGACATTTCAGCAGCTGGATATGTGCTGTATTTGTGGGAGTAGTCTTCCACCAGACTTACATGGCAAAAATACTTCTGGAAGAGGCAGCCTTAGTCCTGGTTTACTCTCTGCAGCGTGATTTGCATCTGTGAGATGCTGGGAGCCTGCCTCCCACCAACGCTGCTGAAAGCTGATCTTCAGCAAAGCCTAGTGAATTTACTACCAAAGGCAATTTCGGGTCTCACCACTGTTTGATCCAGAAGGAATCAGGACCATGATGAGCTAGGCACTCTGGCATGCCCAATATTGCAGCGCTATGGCTCTTTCAGCCTTTTCTTGCCATCAGCCATTTCATGGGCACTGGCCTCCTAGAACAATACCCATGGCTTGGACATTGGCCATCACACTGGGTGGTAGGATTGGCAGCTTTTGGTCCATTATTGCTGGCATTATCAGTTGTACAATACAAGGGAGGTAGGTTCTAGTGACAGACCTGAAAGTAGGAGTCCCTGTTGCTCTTCATCTTCTTGAGACTTCTTCCCGAGGCTGATCCTTAAACTAAAATATTCCTTTCCTACTTTTGTAATTCTTATTGCTGAGGCTGTAATCCTCTGGGCCAGCCTAGGACCCTATTTCAGGAATTGCACCAAGGGATCCTTTGGCCAAGTGCCCACATCAGTCCCTTCCAGCCAGGTTCCCTGTGTTTGCTGCTACACTTTGAATTCTCCTCAACTTTATTGTTTTCTTCCTCTCTTAATAAACCCTTTTCTCTGTTTTTTTTTCGCTTTTCTTCATCCTTCCATAATTCTCTTTAATAACTGTTATCTCCTAACGATATTAATTTTCCAGCAGAAAAATGGATTTCAAGATGACTTTTTTCCTGTTGTTTTTATGCCTGAGATGTAAGCGAACAAAACGGCCTTGAACACCTTATGCCTCTTCCTTCTTTCCAGACAAGCTCTGCCCATTTGGCTTCAGCAAAGAAAAATGTTGTGATTGCTTTTATCTCTAATTGCTTAACGTCAAGCCATGTGACTTCCTCATCTTCACTACGAGGAGCCTTCAGTAAACTGCCTTTTCATTTTCACAGTCTGTCCCAGTGGAAAATATGGGAAGAACTGTGCTGAGGTCTGTCAGTGCACCGAGAACGGGACCTGCAATCCGATTGATGGAGCGTGTCAGTGTTTTCCGGGCTGGATAGGGCCGGACTGTTCTCAGAGTAAGCAAAGGGTTATTTTTCTATCTCCACTTCTAAAATAACAGATTTTCCTGTTTAGTGTTCCCTGAAAGTTAAAGACAGCTTCTGGGGAAATCCCTGCAGTATTGGAGCAGCCAGTGCCTTACTCTTTATGGCTTGTTTTGTTTAATTAATCTAAGTTAGCTTTGGCTTGAGTTAATTTCTGCATTTGGAAATTGCAGAAGCTGTTACTAGCTGCTATTGCAGGAAAGGGAGGTCACAAGCTCTTATCAGAGAAGAAAGCTCTATGTGCTCCCTTTTAATTTCTAGTTGGATTCCCTTTCATTTATTTTTGAAGGAACTTTCTTTCAGCTATTACATTAGGAATTATTAACGAGTAAATGTTTGCATGTACCAGGCCCCCAGAAGTGAGAAATTAGGCAGCCGAAATATTTCTATTAAATGTAATTTAATTGTAAAAGTCAATGTGGGCTTGGAGGGATGCAGGATTTCTTCTAGAAAATTGCCCAGGTAGAAGATTGGCATTTGCTGATCCCAAAGTGTCATTTCCTGAGAGCATCCCTTAATTGAAGATAGATCACAGAGGGAAGCAATATCCTATCATTCAGAAATGTTACTTCATATTCTGGATACAACTAGCATATTAGACAGCATTCCAGAGGAAAATATATTAAACTCCAAGTGATAAAGTAGGAATCGGATAAAAACAGACGGCTGTAATTTTGCTTTTATTGTGTGTCTTCCACAGGCAGAATATTGCTGTCATTCAAAAACTGGGGTGAAAAAAAGACAGAAAACTCTACAGATTCCTCATTATATTTAGCCATGTAATTGGGAAATGACTGTTAGTCCTGTTAACCTTGAAAAATGATGGTTTCTTCCTACAGAGAGAGGCAGGCCAGTTCGGCAGCACCAATTTCCAGTTTAGCAGGCAGAAGGACCTGGCAAGAGCTGCTCTGTATTTTGGATGATCCAAGTGGGAACCTGGCTGTTTCCTTCCTCAGTTACCTTCTTGTAAAGAAAGAGTAAATCTCCCAACGTGAACCTGGCCTCACACCAGGCTCCTGCCAGCACCTGGCCTCACGTACCTGGCTCCACTACTGAGCTATTTCAGTCAGACCTCCCTCCACACCAGTTAACCTGGAATGACCGGGAGATGGAGCTGCAAAGGAGATAATTTTAGCTCTAACTCCAGAGCCAGATGTGGAGACGCTAACAGCCCCTGCAGCTCTGCCTTACAAAGGCATTGTAAAACTATTTCTGGTTGCTTATAGCATGAATACTTTAGGCCAAACCCTGTTCAGCTTTACATTGTGTGAGTTCAGTGACCTTTTGTTTGACTGACATCACGGCAGGGCTTTTTCTATTCATTCTGGCTTTAGAGATGTCTGTCATATGCCAGAAACTTGCGTTTATTGTCAGAACTGGAGCCAATGGCATACATGGAAATAGGCACCATTTCTGTACTTTCAGGTTTCCTGGGAACAGTGCCTTATTAATTCATGTCTTTAATAGGAAGCAATGGGAAGTGCTTTTTAAAGCAAAAATATAGTTGTTATATATTGAAGGGTTATCATCATTTTAGATCTTTTAGTCTGGTGCTAATAACTGTAACTTACTGCATTCACTTTTGGAGGGAGGCTTAAAATAACTTTTGAAAATGTATTAATATTGTACTTGTTGAAGTATATAATAGACCTGGAGATTTTAATTTAGTATTAGGCCCATCAACAAAAAGCAGTCTGATTTGGTGGATGGGAATTTGTACTGTAAGAAGTTTTCTTTACATTTTTACCTGAGTAGCCCTCTATGCTTCAACAGAATGTGGTAATTTTAGTAGTTGATGGCATAGCGAAAGTAACCCCTGAATAGCTGTGCTTTATTATGCAAGAATTCTGGACTATCAAAAAGAAAATTAAATTACCTCCGTCTCTTAAAGCCCTGTCTAAACTGTCTTCACAGATAAAGCCAGTAAGAATAGAGAACAGAGAGTAATGTAGTGTCAAGGGTTGCTGTTTCAGTAGTTCTCAGAGCACATCTACAGCAAAGAGCTGATCCTGTCACCTGAACCTACACAGGGAATCCTAGAATGGTTTGTGTTGAAGGGACCTTAAAGCTCATCCAGTTCCAGCCCCTGCCATAGGGGTTGGAACCTTCCACTGGAGCAGCTTGCTCCAAGCCCCTGTGTCCAACCTGGCCTTGGACACTGCCAGGGATGGGGCAGCCACAGCTTCTCTGGGCACCCTGTGCCAGCGCCTCAGCACCCTCACAGGGAAGAGCTTCTGCCTAAGAGCTCATCTCAGTCTCCCCTCTGGCAGGTTAAAGCCATTCCCCTTGGCCTGTCCCTACAGGCCCTTGGCCAAAGCCCCTCTCCAGGTTTCCTGCAGCCCCTTTAGGCACTGGAGCTGCTCTCAGGTCTCCCCTTCAGGAGCCTTCTCTTCTCCAGGCTGCCCCAGCCCAGCTCTCTCAGCCTGGCTCCAGAGCAGAGCTGCTCCAGTCCTCTGGACTCACTCCAACAGCTCCACATCCCTCTTGTGTCAGGGCCCCTGAGCTGAATGCAGGACTTGGGGGGGGGGGAGGGTCTACAAGAGTGGAGTAGAGCAGGAGAATTCCTTTCCTCAACCTGCTGGAAGAATTCCCTTGTGCCAGGGTTTGACAGTGTGGGTGAGGTGCAGGTTTGCACCTGGGTTTCAAAGCAGTCATTGGCTTGGAAGAACTGGTCATGGCCAGGGAATTGCTGCAGCCATGCCAAGCTCTGCAATGCGAAGTTCTGCCTCAGCTGGTGTCTCACAGGTCCTCCCTTTACTGCTGTTCCTTCGCAGCACTAACACACTATCATTGCTTTCTTTGTCAGCTGACAAATCTTTTTTATTTTCATAGCTTGTCCCACTGGTTTTTGGGGCCCTGATTGCTTTCATTCATGCAACTGCCACAACGGAGCAATGTGCAGCCCATACGATGGAGAATGTAGATGCACTCATGGTTGGACGGGGCTCTACTGCACTCAGCGTAAGCCTTTCAGAGACCCTGTTGTGCCAGGGAATCTGTCAAAGTATGTGCTGCTACCTCGTGTCTCTTCCAAGTATTGCAGTCTTCCCTGTTAAACCACCTGCTTTTTGCTTGTGATACCTTCACATCACCCCGACAAAAGTAGTCCTGAAGCTTTCCAAGGTGTCTTATGCCTTTGGCACTCGATAAAAGAAGCACCAACCATTTAGATTATTGATTCATTGTCAGAATTTGCACAGTCAATGTCCCTGCTTGTTAAAATCCTAGTATATGTGGTCTGGTTTAGGAAAAATGTTTGAGGTTTCTCATCCTATTAGAGCCAAATTATAGAATCATAGCTCTGTACAAAAGAGGAGATCAAATTCAGGTGAGCCTTTTAAGAAGGCTCTTTCACTTGCAAGTAATTGACTGATCTCTGGCCTTTCAGAGTTTCTGTTTAACCGTCTTCTCTCACTTCTTCAAAATGCAGCTGGTATAGATGGGTCAAGTTTTTGTTCTTCTGAAACATTTAAGAGGCAATTCTGTAAGATCTGAGAAAAACTACTTCAAGAAAATTGGCTGTCGTAGTATCTCTGCATTTAGATGATCAAATAAATGTTATTAAACATACAGAGGCTGAACATCCATAGATTTATAGGCTTACATATTTCGTACTGATAACACGTCTGAGTTGGTGTTTCAGCTTCTTTCTCAGCCTTTCCTTATTCTGATTCCTGAAAGGTTGCCCAGCTGCTTTTTATGGGAAAAACTGTGCCAACGTTTGTCAGTGTCAGAACGGAGCAGACTGTGACCACATCACTGGGCAGTGCACGTGCAGGACGGGATTTACAGGCAAACAATGTGAGCAAAGTGAGTAGCAACGTGGCTTCATTTTTCTATTGCTCCAATGGGGAAGGGTGTATTTCAGAATTCTTTGCAGAAACAGGCTCTTAAATGAGGTGTTGATGTCAGCAAGGCAGCAGCCCCAGGCACCTTATATAATCCACTGGGAGAAGGCAGCATCTCCTGAATGCTGCATAGTCCTAGAATAAAGAAATATAGTGAATCCCCTGCAAATTAGGCCTTTCCATTCCAGCCTAAAGTTAGGTGAGGTAAAAGCAGATCAATGCACTCAGTGCTGACTGGATGTCACCTTCCCAAACAACTTGTACCTAATTAATAGAAAAATGTAAGCTGCACCACAGAATCCTGGAATGGTTTGGGTTGGAAGGGACCTTAAAGGTCATCCAGTTCCAATTCACGGTCATCTTTTCTTTTGCACACAATTGCACTCAGCAAAGCATGTGTCTCAGGGCCAAGTTTGCATGCTCATGTGGGGGTTACACCTGGCATCACTGTAACTCTGTAAGTGCCCAACTTACTGTGAATTTGTGTGCGCCCTTACTGCAACCAGAAATAAAACAGGAAACTAAAAAGTTCCATAGCAGACTCGCATCATAGCAGAATTTACACAAGAAGCTCCATTTATAATTTGACTTTGTACAAAGCCTGAGGTTTTCTATCCATACTGCAAATGTAATTATTTGTTCTTCTACTATTTAATTTAGAAGCATCCCTTCATCAAGGCTCCTTCTTTCACAGAATCCTGCTGAATGGGCAGTCACACTGCATTGCAGATGAAATGCCTAAATGCAGTTATTGTTTCTGTGGTACAGTCCAAAAATGTAGGCCTCATTCATTTTAAGTAGGCTACAGGCTAACACCAAAGTGAGCATTAATGGTAATAATTTCATTTTTCCTTGTTTGAGGACCTGCAGGTGGAACAAAGAGACATAACTTTAATACACTGCAAATCATCATACAGATACTAGCTACTGTTTATGACTCAGTATTAAATTTTGCCTGCTATAAGTTACTTGGAGACTGACATTGGGAAGGTATCATCATGCTATGCAAAACTTTTGCAGTGACACACAAGAAGTCATATATTAAAACAAAGAAAGAAGAACCATAGGAAGGGTGCATGCATCCAGTAATGTGCCTTCTCCATAGAAGCAAGTAGGATGTGACAGAAGTTGTTTCTTTCAATTTATTATTGAATAGTGCCTGAAGAAGTATAGTAAGCTGCCTACAGATTTATTGTAATAGCCCATCATGGTAACTGTGTGAATAAATTTCACAGCTGGACATTCAATCATTTTGCCTTTGATAGAAATACAAAGACAGGATAGAAATTTTTTCTATATTAGGAACCCTAATACAGAAGCGGAGCAAATCACACCATTCAGATTCTCAATTCTGTAATTCCACCTACAATGTTATATTCACCTTCTAGCCCTGGTAGGGATAAGTATGAAAACATGTGAGATTTATTTGCTGAAAGTCTATTGTGTTCACATAGAGGTACATTAAAACTTTGCTTTCCAACCTTCCCAAATACACAGAGTTGGTGCAGAATGCTATGCTCTTTCAAGATGTTGTCTGCAGCTTCTGAGCTCCTGCCCTGTTAAATTCTGTACACGTGATGTGTATTTTTTAGGCTTTTAAAGCTTCTGTACCTATTATTGGTTTCATCCTCAGAAAGTCTTATATGACTTTTCCAGAAAGTTATAGTTCAATAAGTAATACCCCAAACTGTACACTAAGGACGTTTATCTCCTGCTTTGAAAGATTACTAATCCAACACCAGGGTGTTATCCTAGAGACACTGAAACCAGGCAGACTTTTCTACTGAATTTTCCATGGCAAGCATTTCACTCATTCCTGAAATAAACAGAGTTCTTTCCAATCTTTTCTTTGGCTTCCCAGAGTGCTCACCGGGAACATTTGGTTATGGTTGCAAACAACTGTGTGAATGCATGAATAATGCTACGTGTGACCATGTCACAGGTACTTGCTACTGCAGTCCAGGCTTCAAAGGAATCCGATGTGACCAAGGTACAGTGAAATTCTGCCTGTAAGATCTCTCTCTTTTTCTCTCTCTCCCCTTCCAATGATGTACTTGCTTTCAGGAAATAGTGTTTCAAAGATGAAATGCATGATTCAATTTACAGTGTGTTATGAATTACTTTTAACAGCGGCTCTTATGATGGAAGAATTAAACCCCTATACTAAAATTAGCCCTGCTCTTGGATCAGAGAGGCACTCAGTGGGAGCAATCATTGGAATTATTATTCTCCTTCTAATTATTATGGTCTTGCTGGCACTGTTTGTGTGGTATCGACGGAAACAGAAGGAGAAGGGCCATGACATGCCAAGTGTATCTTACACCCCAGCCATGAGGATGACTAATACAGATTACTCACTTTCTGGTAAGGGTCTTTTTATGTTAATCAAATACAGACTCACATTACTGTATGTTGGAGAAATATAAGCTTCTGTGATGTATAAAATGCGTTACTGAGCCTCAGAAATGTTACTTCTGTTCTTCTCCTGAATACTGTGATCATTTAACACTTAACAGGGACAGGAAACCAAATATAACTGCTTTATATATGAAAATTTAGTTAATCTGATACAGGATATACCTAAGCAAGAAATATGCTGCATGGAATACATCAACTCCACTTTTTAAATGGGCTGCTATTGCAGTGCAGAGAAGTTTTCCCTTTGTGAAACCCTCAGAAGACTTTTTTAGCTTGAGGAATGGAATTGAATGGGTCAATCGTAAGGTTTTATTTTTGTCTGTGTTGCAGTTAGTGATTCGAGGCATCCTGTTTGCTGTCACTTCCTTCTGTGTGCAGCCCAATCCCCATCATCTAGGCAGCTGATGTGGATTTTCTTCACAGGAGCTGATGAAAGCAGGCAAGAAGAAGAGGAAGGCTCTTTAAGATCATAAAAAATCATACTGACACCACATTTCTTGCTTCTTTCTATCTTCTGGTACTGCTATGGAGGACAGTTTTTCTCGGCAGATTGGGTAAACTTTGGAGGGTGAGATCTCCCTTAACACTGTCATTCCTCTGCCAGTCTCAGATAGGATGCCAGACCAAGAAATGGCTTCACCTCCTTCCCGTTTCCTCTGTTCCTACTGGGGAAGATGGGGGGCTTTCTGCTGAGCACCATTGACTAAACCCATATTTAGGCCACTCAGGCCTGTACTAGAGCATTCATTCTTCTGAGAGCTACAAGATGGGGAAAAAAGCTCAGCCTTGGACTTGCTCCCATTGCCTCTTATTTTTTAATTTGGGCTTTGTAGGCTCTTGCTTAAGCCGCCCATTTGGGTAAGAAATAGATGCAAGTGCTGCCAGAGAGGGCTTGTCTGATCCTCGGCTAGTTGCCAGCACAACTTGGCCTGAAATTTGTCATTTCAATATCATTTGAAGAGCCAGACCACGAACATGCAAAAGGCAACTGTGGCACATCTCAGCAGCAGCGAGGCTCCGAGTGCCGAGAGAACAGATCGCAGCCACTGGCATGGAAAAATGTGCTGAACTCCTCAGCGATCCATTCCTTTCCTATTGGCACTGTATCCATTTGTTGACAAAGCCTGCTACACCTCATTTATTGCTGTGCTTTTCTCATTAATGTATGTGTAACCCAGCATGCTTGAGAGGCACAACTTAGAATCATCGGAATAAGGAGAGGAATATTGCTGGGAGTTCCTGACTGCAGGAATTGACCTCCTCCTTTCAGGCAAGGGAGGAAAAATCCCTCAGTTGTTTTTTCTCCATGTTTTACTATGAATGGAGACTTCCCCATCAACCTGATGGTATCCCAGCCTGACACTGCACAAGTCCAAAGAAAGGTTAACGCTGAGGAAGGATTCTCTCATCCTTTGAAGCTATCACAGCCAGATGACTTTCCTCCTCTGCCACAGAGAGAAAGCCACTGTATTTGAAGATGCTGGCAGCCCAGGACTGTCCTTTCAGGTTCTGTCTTTATGGGTAGTGCATCTCCCTATACAACATTCTTCACATTTCTTTCAGGGGCAGCCACCTATCCCAGAGCTCCTGATGCCACTTGATACTTCAGTACTTGAGCTAAAAACAGAGATCTGGGGATGGCTGAATCCCTGGATACATCATAACTATCTGAGAGATCCCATCCTTCAGCTGCATTGAACATGGGATCTCTTCTGGAGCTTGGGCAATGACAATGAATTTAATTCTTGCCCTCGAGATATTGCTGCTCTGTGTCAGCTTAGTTTGTAAAAAACCTGAAGAACCAGGTCCTTGCAACCTGGAACAGCACAAGGTCAGTGGTGCTGCATGGGCTTTTCTAGAAAGAAATTGGATAATGGCTCCTTCCTCTTCATCTCAGGCAGTGATGGAGATGCAGTGACTGGGCCTTTTCTTCCTCCTTTCTTTCTCTGTGCAGTCCTTGTAGCAATATAAGTTTTATCATTCAGGAAGCTGCAGCTGAGTAGGGTCAGCCATCTCTGGAGGTCATGAGATCTTGGAGAGGAAGACTGAGTTAGAAATCGCACTGCTCCATCTCCATCCCATTATAAATTGTCTGCAGGTATCAGTATTGTTTCAAGTTTTGGTCTGGTTTATAAGGGTATTTACAACTTCTAGACAAGGGCTCCTGAAAGCTCCCTGCCAAATTCTGACTGTTCTCCAGTGCATTCCCCTACTAAAACATTCTACCCATCAGTAACCTTCCCAGCTTTGGCCTTACTCTATGCTGTTTTCAGCCTTTCACCTCTGTAGAGCAGAAAGACAGAAAAGGTGCTGACATGCACCCATCAGCAAATGGAGAGATGGATACTGAGACAAGGTCACAGATAAGAAATAGAGGCTCACAGCATGGATGGATGGCAACAGGACGTGTGTAAATGAGTGCATGTGTGCATTTGTGGGTTGCAGACCATGCTGAAGGACAGTAGCAATTACATAGAGGTAACAGGGATTTCAACCTTCACCTGGAGTTTCTTATGTGGATTAAGGGCAGAATGCTATGCAGATGTACTTGTCCAATTAATATAATCCTGGTTGAACCCATGGACTCCAGCAGAATTCCACCTGAGCAAAGACTGCAGTATCCAGTCCTGTACGGGTTGTACCACTATGGCAAGCCTGACCCATCACTGTTGTTCTTTAGCTTGTTTACTCTTGTTAGGGTAGTCTTATTATTGTTGCTTCTGAATAGAGTCACATACAGAGATCCCTGGCTCCTGGAGGCAGTAATTTCTTCCAGCACATTAATTTATTTCTGGAGGATGTTTTTGGTCTTTACGTCCTCAGCTCTTCTGATGCTGATAATCCTTGCATGTGTGTGAGAGAGATTATAAGGGAGAGGAGCCCCCTGGGCAGCCCTTAGATTCTTTTGCGTTTGTGGATGAATGATGTGGCAGCAAAACAAACACTCTGCCAAGCAGCCAGTGGGAAAGAAAAACCATCCACGCTGGGAGAGCTCAACCACACAGCACATGGATCTGAGAGCAGACTTTCCCAAACGAGCCTGCAATCAAAATGGTGCTCCCCAGCACGAGAACAGTACACTGCACCCAGCCAAGGGTTTTAAAGTGCAGGTTGTTAATTCAAGGAGATGGGGACAGAAAGGAAAAGTATGCAGTGCTGGAAAGCTGCAGACACTTCTTTTCAGTACTTTCACAGAGACTTGGTTATGGACTGAGGTAATGCTTGAGGTGTTTTCAGAGTCTTAAACTCAGCCTATGCTGAGAGCCAAAACCTAAATAGAGCATCATGGATCCTGCACCCTAGACAAGGTGTTTACAGAAGTGATCTGCAGACGATAAGTAGTAGGAGGTGGCAGCAAACCTTCCTGCTTGGAACCTTCGGCCACCCCACTTAACACCCTGTATGGCTGGATAAGATATCGAAGAAGAAAACAGTTCCATTTTGCATCTTGGGCTCTTTGGGTGTGTATTTCATGCAGGGTGCTTACTTATTCCCTATCTTCATGGCTGGCCTTATGCCCGATTTCCACACCCCCCTGCCCTGCTGCCACTGCAGGGATGGGACCAGGGCTCTTGGTGTCACCACACAGCCCTGCTCGGAGCACAAGCTCACTCTTTCAAGTGACAGTGTCCTGGCCTTCATCCAGACCTCCTGGGTCTTCCACTGAAGCACAGCCTCAGGCTTGAGGGGCTCACAGCCGGGCCTTGCCATCATGGATCCCTTCCCAGGACTGATCTCCCCATGTTAACGTTAACCTTTGGGCTTTTTCTGGTTTAATTTAAATAATTTCCTTTTTTTCTTAAGCATTGAAGTCTCTGCTTGCTCTTCAGAGCAGAATAAAATTCTCATCTTTGAGAAGAGAGAGGGTTTTGTGGGTTGTTTTATTTTATTTTTTAAACTGGGATCGCATTAGATTTGAATGTGATGTATTTCCAGCCAGCAGTTATAAGAGCTTCATGAATAAATGTGTAGAAAATGGACTGTGCTATCAAGGTAAATCAGCCTGGGTAGGTACTTAACTATCGACCAAATGGAACTGTGTAGAAGGAGTAATGCTGAGTGTATGGTGCTGCATGCAATGAAGGAAGAAAAGATTTTTGGTGTTGCAGCCTTGTGTACGAGCCCAGGTTCATTAATTCAGAGATGTGCTACATAGTAGGACAGGCTGGTAGGCTTCTCCTTCTGCTCATTTCAGGTGCTCAAAACAAGCTAGGGCCAGATAAGCTGGGTGTGAACTTGTAATGTGTCAGCTGCCTCACAGGAACTGTCGGTGTGTGCCCTTATCTTGCAGCAAAGGCAGTGGACTGTGCCTCTTCCTTGGAGCTGGTCCTTCCTGCCTGCAGCTGAGAGAGGGCATTGACAGATAAGGGAAGGGGGAAGGCAGAGCTGAGAGCTGGTGTGACTCAGCCATCAACACTCACCTACAAATCCAAAAGACATGGATTCAAGTGTCTATATTTAACTGGGAGCGCAGGTTGTGAGAAGGATGGATGAGCTCTGCTCCCCTGGGGAGCTGCCAAGCCCTCCTTAGCAGGTTCGAGGCTGTTTGTGAGCAGCTGTGTTTGCCATGGGCACACAGTGTTTGGGTTTCAGCCCCAGTTCTCATTATTTCAAGAGATATCTGTTTCTTGTTAATTCTACTGCAAATATCACACAGTGATAGTGAGGGGACATGGCAGAGCCCTGGCAGCCTGGCTGCTGTGCTGGGCAGTGGCTAGCTGAAAGGAGTTAAATGCAATGACTGTAGCTCTGGAATCACATCCTAATCAGAGGTTCAGAAAATAGCTAGTACTAAAAGGCTCTGCACTTAGTACCACATAGAGCTGACCTCAGAAATGGCTCTGCATGTTTCAGCAGAAAGTAAATGCTCAGTCAGATACGTATGTGCCTGGGCAGTGTCCTCTCAGCTCTGTGCCAGAGTGGGTCTGGAATAGCCACCCTGCAGATAAAACCACTTATTCAAAATGGGATATTTTGCATTAAATTAAGCTAAATCTAGATCTCCACAAGATGTCAGCAAAGCAAAGTGCATGCTCACAGGAATGCAAACGCAGAGGGCAAGGAGAGGCTGATGGTGACTCCCGCAGGCAGTGCCGGCCAGGTCCATGTCCTTCCTCACCCATCGGCTGCCAGACATCACTGGTGATGGGCACAAACAGCCACCCCAGCACCTCATTACCCTTTCTGTGTGAAGGTGTTCCCTGTAACTAACCTTTCCACCTACAGTTTAAGCCCATGGTTTATTAAAACCCATTCATTTACTTCTTACAGGGCATGGCTATTCAAACGATGCTGCTTCTCCTCCTTTCTTCTGATGGTACCTTGAAATATTTATCAATTTGTTATTAAGCTGGAACCTGCTTGGGATTGATGTTTGCATTAGAAGTGCCAGTGTAAATATGATGCCTTTCTTGATAAATTAATTTCTTTGGTAATGTGTTGGTAAGTTAAAGTGAGGAAATAGATGAAATGTCTCTAAGCATAACACTGTAACTGCCCAGCTTTGCCTTTCAGTGCTGCAGCTTTCTGGTTTTCTAAGTCTTCACACAAAAAGCTATGTAAAATGGTTTGGACTCCTTGGTATGGTTATAGCACCTGAATTTCTAACATTAACTCCCTTTTTTGTGTCAAATTAATTGTTTCACAACTCCAAGGGTTATTCACAACAGTAGCTCTTACATGTGTTTAAGCAAGAAACTGTGTTGCAGCCATGCATTTCCTGAGTTTTGCATTTCTTCCCTCACCTGCAAAGCAGCTGGACTGCCAGGAATTACTTTTTAAGACCTTCAAAAAGATAACACTGCATTAATTAAATAATTTGCTTTTTCTACCCTATAGTAATGTTAATAGTCCAGATTCACACCATGGTAATGCAGGATAGATTTCATCTGCAGATGTTCAGTAACAGCCAGTGCTCTAACAAATTGTTCTAAGCTAGATCATCTCTACCATGCTTTCAGTTTCTTAAGGATCATAATGGCTTCCAAAATACTTTGTGATGACTTGTTTTCTCCCCAGATGTATCTCAAGGTAGCGGCAGTGTACATTGCTTTTCCAATCCAAGCTACCACACTCTCTCATGTGGTGTGACTTCACGCTTCTTTACCAGTAATCTGGATGGAAACAGCTCCAGTAAGGTAGATATCATCCCACCCCACTGTAGCAATGTTCTTATCGGTTCAAGGAAATCAACCAAAGCAATGCCTGTTGGATCCTCTGGTCTGCCAGCATTATTTAAAACCCCAGGGCAGCAGCTCCTGACACGGGAGCTCTAACAGACACAAAAAGGGTCTGCTTTCTGTGTGTCTTCGTAATCTCTGTGCGTGGTAACCGGAGTTCAGCACATGCCTGTCTGGGTCAATAGTGCTAGTGTCTAGCACTGTAAGGTATGTTTGCTTCTCAGAGAAGATAGATAACTAGAGTAATTATCCATTAATGTAACAAAAGTAAATCAATGCAGCATTAAGTCAGTAAATCTAACTTTGCTTTGTTTCCCAGATCGGTATACACACAGATTCCCTGCTGACACAGACAAGTAGATAGATGCAAGAAGGTACCTAGGGTGCTTCTGAGCACTGTTCTCATCCAGGGGCATTCTGAGAGCTATTCAGACTGTATTGCTCAAACATCTGAGAGTTACTTACCTCATGTGTCTGTTGATTCCCTAGGACCATCCATGGACAACACTGTCACTCCATTCACCATGTTAGCAATAGATTCAGATACAGGAAGTAGTAAGACAGCTCTTCCTTTTAGAGCCTTAATAAACCAAGGTGGGGCAAAGGATAGGGGGCAGAGGAAAAAAGGAAATGCATTTGATCCCATCAAGGTTGTCAGCTTTAAAACTGATGGTACTTGCAGGCTGTGTCACCTTAATCCAAATGTAGCTCTGTTAACTGGAAAGCCATGAGAACAAGATTAATGCAAACAAAAAAAGACACTATTGGATGAGACAGGGAATGCAAAACTATTTCTCCACGTGCTCCTGTAAGTCATTCCTTGGTTATTAAAAGAAAAACTCATTAAAATGTAATAAAAAGGCTGGCTCCAGAGATTTCTCAGAGAGAAGTTTAGACAGATGTGTAAATACATTTTCCAATGTAGGTGGTCCCCTTGCATAGTGCAGTATTTTTCCCCAGATTGGAAGTGAAAGCGTTCATAATGTCAAATTCAGGATGAGCACCAGGAGTGTGGATCTGGACCACTAATCCTGTTGCAGTCATTTAGATGAATTCAGAAAAGGTCAAAGCAAGCACCCACCCTGATTTCCCAGCCTGCAGTGCATCTTGTCACAGAGCTACTTGAAATACTAAGCTGCAGAAAAGGTTTAAAACCCAAGTGGTGCATTTTGAGCCTGGAAGCTGCTCACCCTGCTGTAGTACTGTTACCAGCAGTCAGTCAGATCAGGTTGTCCTGATCTGGTATTTTCAGGGCACTTATCAAAATATATGGCCTGTAGATCTCCCACCATCTTACTTATTCATGAGAATGCTTTACAGTACTGAATAGCTGAGGATGGCCAAAAATAAGCTGCTTCTGCCTGTGCAGTTCTCCAGCCAAGTAAGACAGAAGAGCATCTAAAGCCCCTAATGGCTGCCTTAACGAGTTTCATTCCCAAATCAGTTTGCCTGGTGCCATTCCCACTTTCTCAGGGAAATGTGCACAAGGTGTACTTGGAGGATTCACTTCTTTCTAGTGCCAGCTGGGGTCACAAAGGAAGCAGCACAGATGCAGGATGAGGAATCTCTGAACTGCTGAGCCAGAGCCCTGGGTGTGTTTTCCTCCCTGTGCTCAAAGGAGATCATGCCTTGAGGCAATGGACTGGAGCCATTCCTCTATCACTTCTTTCAGAGAGACAGCTTGAGCAAGGTACAAAGACGGCAGTGGGGAGATGCAGCCGTGCTCCAGTTTGAGAAGGCTTTTTCTCTCTTGTGCTCCCCCTGCCCCTCTTGTCCTCTCTTTCTGTGTCTTATTCTGCCCTTTCTCTCCTCTTCCCTTGGTGTCCTTTCCACTCTGCTATTTTTGTGGGTTTTTTTCTTCTGTTCTTTTGTGTGTACCTCGCTGGGGAAGCGAGGTGGGTGAGGATGGCTGATAGCAGGAGCTAAAAGGTCCAGCATTGCACCGAGGACCACAGTTTGGGAGACGGGTTTGTCTTCATAGGAAGGGAGCAGAGCCAAGCCTTCCTGCATCTCTTCTAGAACCAGTGGGAGGTGTCTCACCTCTTCTCCCCTCTGCCAGACAGACTTTTGGCCGCTGCTCAGGACCCTACGCATGTCCTGAAGGTAAAACCTTTGAAGTTGCTGAGAGACAAGTGTGAGTGGAGGCATTAAAACCCTCCTGGTGTATACAGGGGCTGGTTAGTTGTGCTAGTGGAGTGCTCAGACTGGAACACATGCAGGCAAAAAAGCAAGTGGGAGGATAAGGGGGAGCGTATGAAGAGAGACTAAAAAAGGCTTGGCTTCTTTTATCCAGCAAAATGAATGCTGAGAGGGAGTTTGATTGCCATCTATAAATACGGCGAGGTAAACACTAGGAGGGAGAAGAGCTATTTGAGTTAGATGACAGGGCTGGCATGAGAACAAATGAGGATGAACTGGCCATGAATGCATCGAAGCTGGAAATTAGATTTCTAACATCAGATCAGTGAGATTTTGGAATAGTTTCCCAGTAAGCCTAATGGGACAAAGAAATCGGATTACAGTTAAAATGGAGCTTGATCAGCCATCAAAGTGATTATGTGCCTGGTGTTTGCAGTAAAAGGTGGCTGGTCACGGGGACTCTGTGATCAAAGCCCTTCCAGCCTTATGTCCCTAAAGCCTGCTCCAGCTGCCAGCAGGAGTCTGCAGGGCTGAGCTTTGTCTCTTGTGTAAGGTCCAGGAGAATCATCATTGGAGTTAAGGAGGAGGAACTAGCAGCACCTCACTACAAGTAAAGGCTTTTCCCATGTGAGTGAGCTTGCAAAGTCAGCTTGGGTGAAATGCTGGCCCTGCCATAGTCAATATTTTACTATCAGTGAAACCAAAATTTGACCTTTATTTATTAGCTCATACAAGTGACTTTGGCTTTTATTCTTATGCCATGTGCAAGTAATAATGATGCTGCAAGGAGCATCATGCATGAACTCGAGTGAAACTGTGCCACAGAATTACTGCACCAAAATTTTCCACAGCAGGCAGAGATCCACACTCACTCCATACCCATGTCTTCACATCAGAGCTCTCATTGTTTGAGTTGAAGACCAGTTTGAGTTCTCAGCTGCTGAGAACCTGTTGTGATCAGAGGGGGGTCGGTGGGACCATTCACAGAACCACTCCCTATGCTGCAGTGCCAGCTCTGTGTTTGAGATTCGAATTGTGCATGAACAGAAGCGTGTATCCACAAAAGGCTGCCAAAGCTTGTGAAGAATACTCTGTATAAAGCATGAGGCTGCTGCCCTGGTGTGTCACAAGCAAATGGAGAATTCTCACTCTGTGCCTTTGCAGAGCTTTTAATTCCACCCTTGCTCCCTACCGAAGGAGAACAGCATCACAGCTACAGTCCAGGTGCTGCTGGCTTCTACAGACATCATAAAATTCAATTGCTATTAGATGTCCTGAATGTTTAAAGCCAGCAGATTCCCATCTATTAAAAGAAGTTCTAAATTCTACCAAAGACTTCACATAAAATTAGAAACTGCAAAACAGAGGTCGCTGGATATGGTCTGACTGGATGTCACCCAGCTAATAAAAAGGAGTTCAGCTGCAGAAAGTATCATTAAAGTGCCTTTAACTAAAACTTGTCCAAGGAAAAAAGACTGCAAATACAGAATTGCTGCAGAGTGTTCAGGATGCCCATCTGAAACAGGGGCTTGGACCATGGAAACCTGAAGTCAGTAGTCAGGGAAATTGATGGCAAAGCTCTTACCGATCGCTGTCCTGGAGGATAAAGGAGGATGGAGTTCCTGCCAGCACTTCTTTACCTAATCACCACGGACTTCTTTAAAAACCCAAGCATTGACAAATGGCATGTTGGTGACCAGCTTGCCACCGGGATCCATCCAGCTATTTCAGATGGGCAGGTAATGATTTGGCTTTACTCATGCTAACACCTCGTTGATCTTAAGGGCAGAGTTGCCAGGTATGAGGTAGTTTTAACCAAACTGCTAAAATTAAAAGCTAGGATTTTTAGTGGATAAATTTACTACAAAGTATTTTTTCCTCCAGAAAAAGCAATTTTGCTTCACACTAAAAATGGAAGTATCTTGTATCGTAAAAAAAAAAATAGAAGTTAACAAATTATAGTGTGTTAAGAAATGATGGTAGCACAAAGAGACAGCTATAATCACATTTCTTCCTAATGACTGCATTCTGAAAAACTTAGAAATGTCCCCAAATCATTTCATTAGAAGAATCAATTCTAGCCCATAGCTCTTCATGCCAAATTTTGGGTTTGTGAGCTGATTTAGAAATCCTGCAAAGCTACAGCTTTTAATAGAAACCCCAAGACTTTAATAAATGTGATTCAAGTGGTGCAGCTGGATTGGAAATCAGTGTCTGTGGATTTCTGGAGGTCTGGAAATGAAGACCAAGGCTGTGGGCTCTGCTGATGGAAACTGCCAGCGCCCTTCATGGGGCTGCACTGATTTATGGGGACCGGGTATGGGGCCAGGAACTTCAGCTTCATTCTCCCACAACCACATTAAAAACCTTGCCATTCCTTGTTTGCTCCAACTGCCCCATCCAGCCATCTCATGTATCTGGTGTCAGTGTTCGTGTTCCCAGCTTTGGGGAATTACAAGGAACTGCTGGACGATGAAGGAATGACTCCTGTGTTGTCAACTGGGAGACCCCGGATGCACAGTCCGTGCCAGGAGCAGGGATGTGCAGTCACAGCTACGGCTCTCAGGCAAGGGTCGCCTCGGAAATCCTGCAGGCAACCAGCTTTATCCACGTTCTGTTCTGGGCACGTCCTTGAGGAGAGCGCCTGGTGCAAAGGTGCCCAATGAGCTGATGACACTTTACCTCATTGGGAATACACGGAGACAGAAAATGAGAAGGAACAAGATGAGGCACTAAGATGTAGCTGTCACTGCTCTGCTGCTGCTGCTGTCTGATGGGAGCTTCAAGAGCTGCGGGGCCACAAGGGGCTGTTGTGATCATTTGGCTTCACTCCCCACACAGTGCAGGGCACAGAACCACCTCTTTCAAGGGCAGTGCTGGTGGCTCTGCAGCAACAGGGTCTTTCAACCAGAGCTGGGCTTTCACATGGATTTGAAATGGGTTCCTTTCAGTGTGCTGGTATTAATCTGTCTTTGTCTCTGTGTGTATACCTCTATGTTTATGTATTTGTATACATATGCACACATCTCTGTGTGTGTGTGTGTGTGTGTGGTCGGTGTATTTGCACTGTTGCGTGCCCGGAATCTTTCTTCCAGGCTGGAGTTCAGCCCATTTGGAGCACAATTACGTGTTTGACAAATGATGAATCCTATTTGTGTACATCTTCAGTTGAATAGCTCTAAAAATACTGTGCAGGTGCTTGTAGAGACCCAGCATTGTGTGTGTGTGCGTGTATGTGCACAGTCTTTTCTACCTGTGCTGTCTCCTGCTGTGCCCACACCATGGTTTCTCCTGTGTCTGTTTAAGCCAGGGCAGATAACATTAGGTGTAAAAAAGCCCCAGAACATTGTCTGCATCCTGAGTCAAGGGAATTCAATCAGCAGGATCCAGTCAGTGAGGGCAGGGTTTTGCCTTTGGTTGTTACAAACGTTCACCCAAATGAAACCCAGTTTCTGTGATCAGATAAAAGCTTCTACATGTCAATGGGCAGTTTGTAATATATGGTGTAGTTGTCCTAAATGTGGTGTTCCTGGAAGAGAGGAGTATTTGCAGATGCTTTCCCTGGAGATAAGGGAGAGGCTTCAGACCTCTGCAGCTTTCTCCTCAGTGGCCCAGCTTTGGGGAAGCTCACAGAAGGTCAGGCTGGTTGGGAGGATCCTGCTGGTCCCCATTGCCCTATTTATAGCGGAGTTTTTGCCAGAGGAGATATCCTGACCCTAAGCCCTCCCCATTGTGGTCACTACCTAAACCAAGGGGCAGAGGAGCTGCATGGCTGCCCAGCCCCATGCCCTCCTTCTCTCTTTGGGTCCAGCATTTCCTCTTTCTGATGTATTTCTCCACCTCCCATGACTCGGTTACTCCTTGCGAGCCATGGTGTGCTCCTCGCAGCACTCAGCTGGCTAAACTTTAGCTATGGTGGTACAGAGCAGCTTACCTAGCTGCTACATGGGACAGCCCCTTTATCCCTCTCTGGCTGTGTCTGCTTTAAGCAGGTCTCTTCAAAACAGGGTTTGGGCCCTGGTCTCTCTTTGCACAGCATCCTGCACAGTGCTTCTCACCCTGGGAACCAGCTGGGATTTTATATTCCAACAGACTTCAGTACATCAGTGGGTCTTAAAACCCACTATGAAAGCTAAGCAAAAATTAATGAGACATCAGGAAAAATGAAATGGTTTGGTAATTTTGAATGCTTTGTTTAAATTTTAACCTCCTTTATTGTTATTCATTTACTTATAAATACAGTAAAATAGCAGAGCTGAGCCCTCTGAAACAGAGGCAGGAGCTTTCCTGTTTGGAAGCAGACACAGGAGAGCACTGATGGCTTCATAACTTAAATTTTTCAGAGACAGGGTTGGGATTTGCTCTTGAACTGACACTTCCTCAGGACCAGCAGATGTGGGCTTTGAGAAGAAAATGTTGAGGTGGAAAACTCAGCAACTACAGTGATTCACAGACCCTCCTTGTTGGGACTCACCCCATCACATAGAATCACAGACTGGGTTGGGCTGGAAAGGACCTTAAAGACCATCCAGTGCCAATCTTCTACTAGAGTAGGTTGTTCCGAGCCCCTGTGTCCAGCCTGGCCTTGAGCACTGCCAGGGATGGGGCAGCCACAGCTTCTCTGGGCACCCTGTGCCAGCGCCTCAGCACCCTCCCAGGGAAGAGCTTCTGCCTCAGAGCTCATCTCAGTCTCCCCTCTGGCAGGTTAAAGCCATTCCCCTTGGCCTCTCCCTACAGGCCCTTATCCAAAGCCCCTCTCCATATGCTTTGTGGTGCCCCAGTCTAGTGGACCCACACCCCCCCAACAGCAGCCCCTCTCCCTGTGCTGACCACCACAAGAAAGGCTCCAGCGAGCTCACTCCAAACCCCCCCCCCCCCCCCAAATCCCCATCCCTCAGGCTGGCACTGTGCTTGCCTCTGCTCTTGTGCTTGAGCATTATCTGGCTCAAGTGAGACTCCTATAACTGGCAGAAAATCAAAGAGCACATTGACACCTGTGCTTAATACAACTGCCACCTCCTCCAGTGGCACCACCACGCTGGCACAGGCAGGGTCCCAGCTGCCACATGGCAAGAGGTGTCTTTCCAGCAGCAGCATCTGGATGGCAGCCCTGGACTTCTCTCCACTTTTGCTGGCAGATCTGCACAGGGCTTCATGCTTCCTTATTGCCAATGTTATTTTCCTTGAATTGAGAGAAATCTTGTAGCCGTTACATCTCTGTTCCCTAAACAGATACTCAGATGTATTAGCAAATCCCCTTTGTTCCAAACAGCTCCTATCTGCATGCTTATGTAGGTGGTTTTGATCCATCCATCTCCATTAGTTGTTTTGAAACAGCCAGCATGTCACTCCATGCATACAAGCATTCCAGTCGTGATCCCTGGGTGCTGAAGGAAATCTCTGTTTTCCAGCATGCTTGTGTTCATTGCTTGGTGAAGTGACTTCCCTTTGTGATTTTCCCTAATGCTAGTGAACAACTGTCAGATTCATGCAGCTAAAGAACTGAAATGGTGAGGCCAAAGGTAACAGTCATCTCCCATTTTGATTCATGCCATCCTTGGGCTGTAGTTTTGGGTGGGAACTGTCTTTATTTCAGCATTAACCCATTATCATACTTTTTGAACAGCTCAGTAACAAAACCCTTGACAGAGAAACTGCAGACTGGAGACCCTACAGCTATCTGAATGAACTAGGTCAGTAACGTTTAAACAATCTAATCACTTTAGTAGACTTTAGAGCAATTCCAGACCCAAGTCAGCCTTTCAGAAAGGCATTAACCATAATGAAGAATATTGGTGTTGTCTTTATCTCACAGTCAGAATTGCCAATAGTGAAAGATGAAGTATTGAAAATGGTTTCCTTTACCACAGACCACACTTGGGAAAGAAGAGCCAATATTCATTCTGATCTCCCTCCTCCATTTGCTGTGTGTAATCACAACCAACTACTCTATAAATGGTTTTTTAAGGACTAACTTAGGACATTAAAAATTGAAATTTGGCATTATTTTTTTCCTTCCATGCTTAATAAAGTTCAGCACCACACACTGGCACGTCCATAAAACCGGAGCCTCTGTGGGAGCTGGAGCATGCAATACACCCTGTTATCTCCCTGTTAATCACCAAGTGGCCATTTTTCAGGCAATTTTGAATGCCCAGCCAGTGCAAACAAGCCAAGAGTGAAGTTTAATGACCCCTTCTGAGTTTATTCTCCCTGGCTTCAGTTTTAACAGGGTTTTCAGCAGCTCTTGTCTCAAACCCATCCAGACTTAGTGCTTTGGATGCTATTTGTTTTCCTATCTAAGCACTTGGAGTTTAGCTTGTCAGTAGCAAAAAGCATTTGCCCTTTCCTTTACTGGGATTACTAATACCTCACTGAAAATTTGCAGTATGGAAAGTGCAGTATTAAATGGTATTATGGGATTTTTAATGTCAACTATCTCACAGCTCACATGGCAAAGGAATTAAGACAGGGCATCACCACGCATCGCATCTTGTCACTGCTCTTTTGGTCACACACCATGCCTTGCTCCAAAGATCAGGTCTTCCCTGCATCAGGAAAATCACAAACCTGTTGAGCTTCAATGCAAAACCTCTTCCATCATTATCAACCATTAGTGTTTTCTTCTGTACAACAAGCTGCAGAACTGCTGTTGTGTTGATCTGTCCGTACCACGGAGAGCTGGGAGGGGGGGAGGATTTCCAAATGCTCCTCAAATCAAGTTCATTTTCTTTTCCCCATTTTACTGCTTTGCTCACTGCCTTTATTCTTAGCTTGCAGTGTCCGGAACTCCCTGAGTGCCAGATTTGTCCTGCATTCATGCATTTTATTTTAGTAGCAGAAGTGATGCTAAGTGCCTTTGCAGTAAGAATGATGTAGAAGTGAGAAATACTTTAGTTAAGCAAAACAGTCACTATTTTTCCATTGCATTTTGCATCCCAGATACATTTTTTCCTTGTTTTCTTTGCTTCTTCCAGAATGTTTTTTTCACACTAATTGGTAACAATGAGAGGTTTTTTCTTCCCTTTCAGTATGAAAATCAACACTTATTTGTGCTGACTTTGATGATGCTGAATTCTTGCTCAGCTCAAGGCCATTTTTGCCATAAAATGTTTTCATTTCATGGTAATCCCACAGCAATAGAAGCTGCAGATTCCACCTACGTGTGCAAATTTCAGCAGAAAGCTAAAAACTTTGATTTTGAATTGTAAACAGGTAATATCAGTGAAGCCTAATAAGCTCCCATGGGGGATCTTGACCTTTAAGCTGCATCATGCATGGAAGTACTGAAGAGTTAGAGGAAGCACCTTCTCATCCAACCGTTAGCCTTAGTTTTTATGATACTGATGCTCCAGCTGGGAGAGCAGCTGGATTCAGTTAAAAACACTTAAAATGGAAGTGGACAGCTCCTCTGCTGTGACCCCATGCAATATTATAGAGAGAAGATGGATAGAAGTTGGGAGCAGATGGAAAGCCCTCAGCTCACCTCCCTGGTTCTTCAGCCAGCAGCTCCTCTGGTTGAGGCAGTGGTGCCAAAGAACAGGCTCTTTGGATGAACCCGGCTCACAGGAATGTCTGTAGGCTTGTTCGGAATTGCAAGTGTCATAAATATGAATTAGAGCTGGGGGAAAGGAAATCATCAGAATATCTGTGTGAAAATTGCCTGAGCCACTCATCTGCTAAAACCTGCGAGCACAAGGGGTTTTCTTAATTCCCTTTTTTTAACCCTTGACCTCTGCAAGGGATTTCTGATCAGATCTGTGCTCAAGGTTGGATGTGGTCCAGACCTATCCCAGGCTGACACCTTCTGTATTTTGATCTGCAGCATACCTTCACTTCTCAGGGTCATGGCTGTGCTCAGACTGGATATAAGGACTCAGGGACTCTTCTGACGGGGACAAACTTGCTTCTCCATTCCATGCTGGATTTAGGCTTAGATCCCACTTCGATCTCCAAGCTCAGGGAGAGCAGGAGAAGCAGCTACTCCCAAGCTACTCACTCAGGAGTGGGGCTGGCAGCTCAGCAGAAGCAGAGCCCTGCTGCTCAGCTGATGGAGGGCATTGTGCCCTTTTCTGTGTGCTTGGCACCACAGCCCCTCACTTCCAAGCAATGTGTCTTTAGTTCTGTGTCTATAAGAGGGTCAACAGGATGCTTTCTGGAAATACCATGTACTTTCTATTTGCTTGTGTATCTCGTAAAGGCGATCCCACAGGTAACAGGCACGTGAGTGCTTTTATTAACCCCTCTTTGCTCTCCTTGCTCTTGCAGGCTGTGCTTTTACAGCTTTGGAAATCGCCTTTTGATTGCTCCCAGTTTGCATCATTGGCTTTTGCTCAGCCAGGAGTCATCCCTTGGATATTTTATTTGGAAAGGGAAAGGAAGAAAGATGTTCTCTGAGGGAGCAGAGAAAGGGCTGCTCGCACCAAGGGGATATCTTACCTGTTTTACAGGACTTCAGCTGCCAGGTTTGGGTTCTTTCCAACTGGGAAATGCAAGGAGCAGAACAAAGCTTGTATTTCCTTGGGAGCTTCAAATATCAGGCTTTGTCAGAGAGAAAATCATACCTGTTAAATGGAGTCTAGTGATGAGCACATTGCACAAGTCATTCTCATGGATCAGCACTTGACATATCAGGATTTGGGGTATCTGTGGTGTCAAGGAAAGGCAGCTTTGTCACTTTTGCCATGTGTCACTACTTGTTTAATGCAGCTTAGTCCCACTAATTTCAAGGAATGCCTTGTCTTTGCATTTCCTGTTCACTGTCTCGTTGCAGAACCGGAATTGTTTGCCCACTAACCTCTCTCCTCCAGTCCAGTCTGCGTTACACAACTGCAGAGTCCATCTTCCAGCTTCTATTCCAAGCAAGTCAAATGTCCTAAACCACCCCCTGAGTTCAGAAAAGGTTGTTATGCTCATTAGTTGGAGTGCTGGGCCCAGCAGGCTGCAGACAAAACTGGTTCTATCTGTAATGTTTTCCTAACAGCAGTGCTCAGAGCAGAGCCTGGAGTGTGATCTGCAGCACATCCCGAGTGACTCAAGGTTTGGGTCAGACCTGACTTTGCATCTTTCTCAAAGCCAAAAGGTGGGGAAAAACATTCCCAACCGAGACTGTGATTTCACCCCGCAGACAATTTAACTCCAGATTTAAACCTGGCCTTTCCTGAAGAGCCAGATTCCTGCCCTGTTCAGGCCCCTTCCACATTAATTGCTTTTGCAGTTTAAAAAATAACATATCTATTATTCATTTCACTCCCTGAGGAATGCAGTGAATAGGCAAAAATGGGTCATAAACCCACAGAATTATAAGACATGGAAGAAGACTAAAGGCAGAATTACAGGGAACAGGTTGGGAAGGGCTTTGAGAGGTTGTGCAGCCCTCCCAAGGCAGCACCAACCCTGCCTGTATCTATCTTTTCTAGCAGGCATATCCCAGCTTTTCTGAGCCATCCTCCCTTAAGAAGGATTCTCAGTTTTCTACAGCTACACTGGAGTGAGCTCTGAGCATGGCAAAGTGCTGCTTTGCAGCTCAGGGTGAGCAAGGACTGCCTGCTGCCCAGCTCAGAACCAGAAGTTGGGTTCACTCAGCTGAACCCTGTGTTCACCCCGCACCTGCCCTCCAGCAGGGTCTAACGAGTCTGGGCTAACTCCGAGCAGACATAGTGATGTCTGTGGCTGCAGAAGCCCTTCCAGACATGTCTGACATCTGCAATGGCACTGGCAGGAGCTCACAAAAACATGCTCAGAACGTGGAGTCCTTCCTCTCCAAGCCACCAAAAGTGCTGGTTGATATCGCTGAGGCCTCACAGCAGCTCCAAGGCTCCAGCCTTCATCCGGGTCTTCACGGTCATGGGGATCATTCCTGTAAAGATCTGATGAGGATGCTCAGAACAGATGCAACACTCTTGCACAGGGATGCACTGTGCAGTGAGCACAGGTAACCATTCCCTGGGTAACCTCTGTTTCCATAGATCATCTGTTCCTCATGGTCCTTATTCTAAGCATCTCCTTAATGCCCAGCAGTTACGAGGACATTGTCCTTCGGGATCACTCCCGTGTTTTTTGCTCCTTGCTTTGTCTCTAACTCTGAAATAGCTGGTCAGTATTTTACAGGTCATGATCTTGAGCAGTTATTCATCCCAGCCCTCCAAAGCCAGGTCTTTCCCGTGTTGCTGTTGCTCTATTTGAGCAATGCTGTGTCCAATGCACCTTCCCATGGGTCAGCCTGGGGTTCCTTTGTTTCCCTGCTGCAGCTTTCTCTTTGTGGGTACGGCCCCCTTCACCCTCTGAGCCCGTTTGTGTGCCCAGCAACACTCCAGCCTTGCTCTGTGTGGTATGAGCTGCTTCTTACCAGAGGCTCCTGAGTGTGTGCCTGTGAAGCTGCCCTGCTTGGGTGTTCTGCCCATGAGGGCTGGCTCAGCCCTGCCAGGAGGACGTGTGATCACCAGGAATGGCCTTTGGGAACACCACTGCTGGGAAAGAGAGCACCGGCGCTGTGGATGTGAGCCAAGGGATGAATCAGCTCCATCCTCTTCACTCAGGACTCTGCCCTAGAGAATGCAGGAGAGAAGAAAAGCACACAGCAAATACTGCTATGTGAAAGAGCTTCCCCGCTGTGCCCAAACCACCCGCTCAGCCTTGCCCTCTGCTGCTTCCTTCAGGGAGTAAGTCTGGGAATTGACTCAGGACAAGTGGTGGGAAACAAAGCAGAAGGTGCTCAAAAGCTTTGGGCAGTCACTCTTGGCTAGAAAGGCAAGAGCCCCATCAGAGAGAGCCAGTTGTGAACTACAGCCCTTTTCCTGTGCTCAGGATGGACACTCTGCAAAGGGGGGTGGCTTTGATGTGCCAGTAACGCATTTATTGTCTAATGTAGTGATTTTCCTTATTCACCAAAAGCAAAGGTGCTGTGAACAGGGGACCAGTACAGCATTGCCAGTGGTAGTGACATCTGCTTCTATAGAGACCAGAGGACATACAAGGACAAAGAGCTGGGAGACCTCTGGGACATGCTGTTTGCAAGGCGCTTTTACCAGCATAACTTAGTTACTTGATTGGGAATCCCATAAGCCACAAGGACATTTCTATCTCTGTAACCAAATTTGTGTTGATTTTGCTAGTCAGTAAGAAATAGCAGACTCTATAGTTAAAAAGATTTTAAGGCTTCCATTAGATTTGCCTTTTGATTGATATCTAGGATCATTAGCAGTAAAGGTTCCCATCCCCTTCTATCTTTGCTTCTGTAAGGGACAAAGCTGCATGAGGCAGAAGTCTTTGCTGTCAGCTCTGTTCTCAGTTACTGCATTTTCAGGCCTCTGTAGTCACTTGGGGCCTGTGGTCACTGCAGTTCTTGAACTGTGCAAATTGATAAGCAAGCCATAGTAGGTAATAGAGAAGGATTGTGCACACCTCAGAATCTAAGACTGTGAGTTAAATACCATACTGTCCACGAGGAAGCAAAGCCCAGAATTGGCCACAGGGTAATGTAACGGAACCTGTGGACTCAAGTTTGGAAGGAGATGGTTTAGGCTCCTACTAATCCAATCCAGTGTTTCAGTAATAACCATACCAGCAGATGATGTTTTCTCACTGTTCTCCTGATGGATAGCTGCTCCTGGTAAAGAGCAGTGCCCTGCATCAGGAAAGCCCTTCCTTTCAGGGAAGCTCTTAAGCATATGCATAATTCTAGGCATGCACAGAACCCCCACTGCACTGAGTGCATGCTTACAGCTGAGGATGTGCTTAAGAGCCTCCCTAAATGAGGGCCTTGATGTACAATTTAGGGGAAAGAATATATGCTGCTCAGTCGTCAACGCAATCCAATTTACATAAATATTTATTTGTTTTCCATTATATATCATTTCCATGCAGGTGCTTGTGGGATGGATAGACGTCAGAACACATACATAATGGAAAAAAGCTTCAAAGGTATGGTATCCAGTGCCTGCAGCCACCCTGGCAAACAGTTTGAGGAGGGTGTCCTAGAAGAGGTGAGATAGGAGAGACCTGAGCACCCGGGAGCAGGGCCACGCAGAGGCAGAAAGGGACAGAGCCATTACCTACAACATACGCTCAGCTGGCAGCACTCCTGACTCCGAGCCAGATGTCTGGGGCCCATGAATTATGGATTCAAGTCTTTACAAGGCTGGAGGCTCCTGCCTCAGCAAAGCAGCAGGAGACAAGAAAGGGAGGGCTCTGCTGCAGGGACAGGAGGTGCAGGTGGAGCTGTCTGGCCAGGGGAACCTCTTTTAGGACCCATTAGTCATCTACAAGGGCTTCCTGGTGGCAGGTGCTGATGACAGACTGGTGCATTTGCCTAAGTTGTGGCTCCGTAAGGCTCTTGGCTCTCCAGAGCTTAAACAAAGCCACTGGAAAACAAGCTGACCCTGCTGCGTGGCCTTGCTGCAAGAGATTTATAGCAGAGCTTGAGAACAGACCTCGCTCAGAACATTAACCAGTCACGCTGGCACGAAGCAATTCATGGGCATTGACTCCAGGGCAGCTCTAAAAAGGGCTTGTAGATGAGTCACGAGCACAAGGCCCAGCGGTTTGACGTTTCACTTGTCCTCCAGGTTTACATTCAGAATACTCCAGTTCAGTGTGGACTTCAAGACCACTTGGCACAGTGGTCCCTGCAAGCTCCTCATAGTGTGGGCTGGGTTTGTGGTACAGGAGATGGAGCAAGGAGGCTGTCTCCCTCAGAACACGCAGGTTTCAGGCTGAAGTCTTTGGTCTGAATCCCAGACTGTTGTGTCTGCACACACCAGCTGGGAATGTCCCTCCCTCAGCCCAGCAGGTGAACACTGCACAATGTCCTTGTGCTGGTATCAGCTGAGTGACAGGGAAAATGGTACCTCCACACAGGGCCGGTGTCAAGGCGCTCGCTGGTTTGCTATGGCCAAGGTGTTACTGAGCAAGACCTTTACCTGAGCTAACAAGGGACACTGAAAGTGCACATAAAAAGCAATGACCAGCTTATAGCCAGGCCTAGAGAGCACCACTTTGTAGCTGCTGTTTACAAGATAAAGTGGCATAATATTGCTAAAACATCACCTTAACACCCAGGCTTGCCGGAGGAAACCACCGATCCATGGCAAAGTCCTTCCCTATAAAACTAGATTATGTATGTAGATTTGGCTCAGGCCACTGGTTTCAGCTCCTTCAATGATTCTCTTATTCTAGTCGGGCAGGTTGTTCTCTTCCCACGGAACTATGAACGTCAAGATTAGCTTCAACTAAATTACTGTGCTTAAAAAGTCAAAAAGCTGCTTTGAACATATGCAGGAGCAATCCCCATCCAGAGACAGTCACACAGCGTGGGGCACCCCAGGGTGAATGGGAGACGAGGAATCACAGGAACAGCAAACTGTGAATGCATTTCCTGCTGCTGCACGTTCTGGTCATTATTTAGGATGTGAGCCACTTTCTTTACATGTTTATCACTTGTAAATTGAACACTCGGGCTTGGAAGCCGTGTCAGGGAGGCTGATGTGTTCTGGCTCTGCTGGCGCTGACAGGGGCAGGATGCTGGGGACACAGGAACACACCTGACATCCCAGGGGGGCTCTGAACATCACCTGCAGGCAGTTGGCAGAGATTGCTCAGGAGCATTTGCCCTTGGATGGCTACAGGCTTGCAGCAGCTCAGTCTGAAGGTCAGGCTCTGGGTTCAGGCAGCCCGGGGGCACTCTCATTCCCAGGAGGAGCTGGGTGATGGGCCCTATGCTCAGTGTGCAGTTCTCCTTGCCCTTGCCAGGTCTTGTGTTAGCCCTGCCTAGCTAAATTCATATGGAAGATGGAGAGAAGGTATCTTCTAAGCTGGGTCATTCACATGAAATGAACTCCCAGTCCCAAACAATTGGATTCTGTCAGCAAGAAGACTTGGCAGGCGGGTGCTTTGTTCTTACGTACTTTAATGCAGTTTAAAGATGTCTTTTCCCATCAGTATCTGCTAGGTCTCACTGGAGAAAGCTTGCCCTGCAGTTGAAAATGGTGTTTGGTGCTGACCCCAGGCCAGAGCATTGCATAGGATGCTCTGCCAGGAGGGCACACGGTTGGTCCCAGGGCTGATGCACTGGTGGATTAATGTGACCTCAGGCTTTGCACGATAGCCAGCAAAGTCCCACCCCTTCAAAACACTGGTGCACCTGCCCCAGGGGCTCAGGGCTTGGTTCAGCGTGGTTCATTTGTTTGGTGGATGGGAATGTGTCCCACAGCTGTGTCACACCCCAAAAAGCAGCACTAAGCTGTCGCTGTGTTGCTGTCCTGGAGCAGCCAAGGTTAGGCAGGTTAATGACAGCAGCCAGCAAGGCACGCTATGCTGAACGTCACCCATGCATGGGATTACACAGCAGGAGAACGTGTTTCACCTGCATGCATCATAGTGCCTTAGCACTTGAAATGTGGCTGTAGGTACCAAGGTTGGGCATCAGGATGCCAGAGGATTATCAGAGAGGAGCCTGCTCTGTGGGAGGAACAAGTACATTTCCAGTCCCTGGTATCAAAACTAAAACCTTCAAAGGTCTGGTGATTGGTATCCAGGCAACACAGAGACAGGGACTTCAAAATTAGAGCCTATTCCCCATATTTCCATATTTCCCCATAGATCTCGTGTATCCAGCTGATGGGGTGCTCACAGCGAGTGCTGTGGCACCACTACAAGAGCTCAATACACAGGGGGCCGATGAGGCAGCATGGCCAGAGCTCGCACGTGTCCTACAGGGTGATTGGGATGAGGCTTCCTAAATCATTTGTTCTGGGTTAGCACTTCTTGCTTACCCCCAAGCCCCCTTCATAACAAAGTGACTCAGACACTTCTATAGCCTTGAGAGTTAAATTCCCTGTGATCTTGTGCATAACACATCTTGTGGCTAAGGTGTATAGCACACTGCCACGCACACACTGGTGCTCCGTAAGTTTTATTGCATCCAGAGCAAAGGGTCTAGTCCCCAGCTAGACACAGAATTCCCATTTACGTCAGTGGGAATTGGCGTGCTGATTCCCAGTATCTTCTGGGAAAAGGCAGCTCTCAGGAGAGGCCAAATGAGTCTGGGCAGCCCAAGTGGGATTTCACCGGTCTCTTCTGGGAAGGGAAGTGCTGGTGCTGTGGCTCCAGCCTGAGGGCACCTGTCTGGGAGGTGGTGTCAGCCCCAGCAGCCCTGCAGCTGCATTTTAGCTTAGGGAGGTAAAAGCAGCTGAGCTGGACTTGATAAAATGCAGGATGTGCTGGGATTTTTGCCTAAGCCAGCTCTGAGGTACCCACTTCCATGAGCAGATGAGTACTGACCCACACAGCTATTAACCTGCAGCACTGCAGGAGCAGGACTTGTCACCATCCCCCTTTGTCGTGGTAGCAGCCAATGGTCTTTTATAATCTACATTTAATGACTCAGAGCCCAGCTCTGTTTTGAGCTCCAAGCCCCTGTGTCCAACCTGGCCTTGAACACTGCCAGGGATGGGGCAGCCACAGCTTCTCTGGGCACCCTGTGCCAGCGCCTCAGCACCCTCACAGGGAAGAGCTTCTGCCTAAGAGCTCATCTCAGTCTCCCCTCTGGCAGGTTAAAGCCATTCCCCTTGGCCTGTCCCTACAGGCCCTTGGCCAAAGCCCCTCTCCAGGTTTCCTGCAGCCCCTTTAGGCACTGGAGCTGCTCTAAGGTCTCCCCTTAAGGAGCCTTCTCTCCTCTTTTGCAAGTCTTGCTGTCCTCTCACCCCAGATTCAGAGCTGGTTTATTACAGGCTGCCCAGGCTCTCCTGCCTGCCTGTAGTAAGCAGCAGAAGCTGTGACCTGCTGGCAGGTAGAGCTGAGCCTTTCTTTGTCTCAGAACAAACCAAAAGCCTCAGGGCTGAGTCTGTCATCTGGGCCGTGTCCCTGGAGCTGCTCCTGCTCCTGCTCCAGCCTCCAGCAGCACCGGGAGCTCTCAGCTCCTCGCCTGCAGGAGCCATTCACCCATAGCACAACCTTCCCAGGGACTCAGGAACAGCCCCTGACCATGCAGGTATTTTTAGCCTAAAGATTTGCATTTTACAAGAGCATTTGTTAGTCTTCGCCTGTTGTCTGCTCACCTTTAAACACCAACCAAGCCCGCACTGTGCGGCACCTTCCTTTAAGTCATATACATAGAAAAAGCTGCTAACACTGAGCTCACCCATGTGCAGAAGTCTTACGGGGTTGCTCCATTGCTCAATAGGACAGGATGGGACAGCTTTCCGCTGATGTGCCTATACTGGGATGGGGTTGGGAAAGCTGGAGGGCCCAACCCTAGCGTCTGCAGCCTGGGAATGTTTGTGTGGCTTTGGTTCTTGTCTCCTGTGCTCTACCGAACAGACGCGCTTCACTCTGAAGCAAAGGCACCGCTAACGTCACCCAGGCTGAACTCAGAGGAGGAGTTCATAGCTCAATGAGCACTGCACTGGTGCCAGGGGCCTCACGTCCCTCATGGTCCCACATGGTGCAGCTGGTTTGCTTTGAGGTGGAGCTTCCCACAGCTGGTTTCACTCACCCTGATGGCTGAAGGCTCACAGGATTTGCTCCCATCACTGAAATTAGAGCACAGAAACTCAGTAGCTCCCTGCAGGATACAACCTGACTCCTTGCTCTGGGTGCCTGCTCAGGGCAGCTCCCCTCAGTGCTGAGCCAAGGCAAAGGGCACCAGGCCCGGGGTGAGGATGGACACACAGCCACAACCCCTGAGCTGAGGGAGGGAGAATCACAGCAAGGAGTGAAGCAAACCTGAGGAGTGAGTGAGGAGGTCGGGGAGGACAGGCGCAGAGGTGAGGTTTGTAAAGGAGAAGCGATATCTTGTTGTCTGTCTATTTCTTAACCTGCATTTCTCTTTTTGTCTCCCATACTAGACAGCGGGGGCAGCTGGGATTGCAGCTATTTTGCAAGTCCCGCTATTTCACCAGGAGTATTTCATATATACCAGGATCTGCCTTTGTACTGTAACCCAGCACAAGAAAATGCCTCATCTTTCATTGCATCGCTCTAATTCTAAATTACTGGCACTGCCCAGCAGGATGCACACGGCAGCAATGGCACGTTCTTGAATGTCCATTTATTCTCTCTTGTTTTTTATGTTTAAAGCAAGACTGGCACTGTACCCTGCAGCAGCCCAGGGGCACTCACACAGGAGACTGTGGTTACAGCTCTCACACCAACCCTGTTCTCCCCGTGTAGTGCCTCCTCCGTCACCATCTCCTGTTTTCTCCAGCCTAGGGTAGAGGAGCAGTAGATTATGTTCAGCAAGGGGGGGGGGGGGCTGGGGGGGGAGAAGTAAAAGGCAAAGCAAAAGCAAGGCTCAGATGGAGGCTTGTTCCCCTTGTGGAAACCCAAGTGTTCCCCACTAGCAGGAGCAGCCTCCTCCCAGTCTTAATGGCAGTGGGAATATGAAGTTGGCTTTTCCTGGTGCTGGATAGCCCCAGAAACCAGAGCTCTCAGGGGACACGCACTGCACTGATGCAGTTCTAAGCCTGCTGGAAATGTTCTGTATTCAAATCTATGGCATTGGATGTTGACCAAAGCCCCAGGACACCAACCCTGTAGCTGGCCCAACAGGCCGGGGACCAGCAGAAGGTCCTGCTGGCAGAACCGACATACCACAGCCATGTGGAGTGGGATTAAAACTCCTTAGGCATTAGGGGGAGGGAGGGAAGGATGCCACCTCCAATTCAATACTGCAGTAAATGATAACTAGAACCTTTTACAGGAAAACCTGAGGTTTTGATTTCTCTCCTGCTAGTGAGTGTGGATGCAATGGTCTGGATCCACCCCGAGCACACGTATCGGGTGTCTGTGCTGGATGCTTCGAGGATCTTCCTTACCCCCTGCCCCCTTGTCCCCCACACTTGTGCAGAGGTTGAATTAACCTAGGGAAGCTCATGGTGCTAACACTGCCACTCCCCTCTTGTTTTGCAGATTATATGAAAGAATCTGTGTGCAGCTCCAGCACTTGTTCCCTGAACAGCAGCGAAAACCCATACGCCACCATCAAAGACCCCCCCATTTTAACATGCAAACACTCCGAGAGCAGCTACGTGGAAATGAAATCGCCTGGGCACAGGGAGTCCCCATATTCAGAAATGCCAACTTCATCGACCGCCAATAAAAACATCTATGAAGTTGGTAAGAGGGGCAGGAGGCAGAGGGGCTGTTGGGGTGTTTATTGCAGGTGCTGGTGTGTTTCCTTTTCCCCTTTTCCTAAGATGGATACGGCACAGTGCAGGGAGGTGCCGGCCATGGGAGAAGCCCTGTGCCTTCGTGTGTTAAGTTGGGGAGTTGATCCCGGATAGGGGGCTTGTGCAAGGCTGGGGGATGTGAGCGTGGTACCGCTCCTCTTCACGCTTTTGTTTTAAACTGCTGCAGTCCAGCTGCAAGACACTGCAAGAGCAGAAGTGTTGGTCGTTTGAAGCCGCTGTCTGCAGGGCTTTGGGAACTGCCTGCTCTTGGCTCTGGTGTTTTCCTCCCTAGTCTGCTCCATGTGCTGACGGTAATGCTGGAGGAGATGAGTTGGGAAGTTGAGTGACAAAACACACGCGTAACTAGCCTCGGGAGAGCTGCAGGTTACCATAACCCAGCTTTCCTTGCTTCCCCAGAGCCCACTGTCAGCGTGGTCCAAGACGCCCGTGGTCGGAGTGCCAGTTACCTCCAGAATCCATATGACCTGCCTAGGAACAGTCACATTCCTGGTCACTACGACCTCCTCCCCGTAAGGCACAGCCCAACACACGGGCCATCTTGGGACAAGCAGTCTTAAAAGGATGAACTTCACTGGTGCACTGTGCTGCAATCACAAACTGAGGAAGCAAAAGAGAAGACAATCCTTTTCTGGGCTGCAGGATGCTGATGGGACTTCAGACTGTCTTACACAAGGACCTAACGTAACACAACATCAGCTTGGGCCAACTGCTGCTGCATGATGTTATTTATAAAGACATTTTTATATGGGTAACAGGACCTACACATGACTGGAGTCCATCACCCCAGGAAGGTGTCTACGTGCTCCAGGCAAAAACTCTCCGTGGCGTGTATTCTAACCCTGGCTTTGCTGTACAATAAAACACACAACCATGCTAAGTAGAAGGACTTAGAGATGTACATTTCTACCAACTACATCAAGAACCCTTTTACTGTTAGGAACAAGGTGACTTGGAACACACTGGGATATATTTTACTTCTTTGTCATGGAAATGGACGTTTTTCTGAATGAAAGCAGGGAACCTTGTCATTTCACTGTCTGGAAACCCCATTTGCTGCCATGACCATGTGCAACCTGTGCAGATCACTCTTGGTAACTAGCATGGAGATTTTTCTCTTTCTATTCAGTACCAGGGTCCTTGAGCTGAGGAATATTAACACAGACACGGTCTGTGCAGGTTCTAAAATGTAACAGTTTGGCAAATGTCCACTGATCTTTGCTAATGACTTGAGTTTCAGCAATGGGCCTCACACCCAGCTTACCACAGATTTAACAAGGTATAAAATACTCCAATTGGCACAAATAGGCTTTAATTTCCCTTATACAACTTTGATTTTTGTCAGATAAAGCCACCAGAGCTGTCAGGCAGTGCAGACTGATGCACCTTCATTTCCTGCCCTGGGACGCTGCAGGTTTGCACAGACTAACCCTGGTTTGGTTTCCTTTCCTAAAGGGAAGCCATATCCCCTCCTCCAGCCCATCGTTACCAATCATCTCACCATGATTCCCTTACAGCATGCCATTTATGACCCTCTTTAATTTGATGTGCATTACCATGTAGTGCATCTTTATCTGCTGATGATTCTACCTGAAATGTCATTAAATTGAGCTGAAACTGGGGTTTGTGTTTCAGCAGCTGTTTGGGAAGGGATTATCAAGGGGTTGGCCATGGTGAAGTTTTGGACTAAGCCACCATGAGTATATTTTCTATATCTTTATTGACCTAGGAAGTAGAATCCTTGCTGTTAAGCAGTTCCTTGTAGATTTTGAGCATGAAGTAGTATCGACTCTCCATATGTAATGGTATTAGGCAAACGCAGAAGTAGCAAGTTAATTGCCTCTTAAGTATAAACCACACCATTCTGTTGCACATTCGCCAGTCTGATGGAAGCAGAAGAGCCCCAAGCCAGCACCACTCAGTTTGCTCAAAGCATGACCACTTGTGTACCCTGCTGGTCTGGGGGATTGGTCAGAGGAGCCTTCCAGCTTGGAGCAATGACCTGATCCCAGCTCTGAGCCACACCAGGATCAAGTGTCGGATCACTTGGAGCACCCTGGTGGGGATGGAAGCCCTGGCACGGTGGTACCAGCCCCTGGCAGCCTGCACAGCACCCCTGGGTGCAGCACCACAACACGCTCCCATCAGGGCATGGGGAGCCCCAGTGATGGAGCTGGGTGGGCTCTGGACCCCTCCAGAGCAGCAGATCTTCATCCTGCAGGATAACACATACATAGTTACATGAATGCTGCATGTGTGCATGGGGGCAGTGACTGAGCAGCAACAGTGATTTTATTTTCCAGGACAGCCTTATTTGAGATGTAAGCAGACAATTATTTTGTAGGGCCAGTAGGGATATATTTTATGTACAGGAATAGAAAGACTTACCTCAAAAGTATCCCGAGAAAGACAATTTGCAAAGGAACTCTCTTGGTAGAGACCCACCTGACAACCGAGCACAAGCAGTCCAGCTGCTGCCTGACCACCAGCTCTGTGTTGCTGTAAAGTCCATGAGACTCCAGGGAGCAGGGCTGTGCTCCATTATTTTTCCAAAGCTGGGTTTTCACACCAAATGCAGTGATGTGCATAGAGCTTAAGAGGAGAACAAATGCAGCACCTAAAAATGTGTATGAGCATTAGCTTTGAACAGGCACCGAAATGGCAATACTTTTTTAAGGCAAGGCAGATTTGTAATATATTTGTTCACTGTGCAGAGGTATCCCACCTTGTACAAAATAAATGGAATTTCTCTCAGTGTGTACTTCTCCAACATCCTCCTTTGCAGACTGAAGCTTCCAGCCCCTGATCAGGTCGGAGTGCTCCAGGCGGTGCGACTGGTTACAGAGGGGCTGCCACCCTCAATGAAAGCACCCCCCAGGATCAGGTTTCTCACCCAGAAGAGACAGGATTTCTCAGAAAACAGTGCTGTGATTCAGCTGCAGCTGGGACCTTCATTCTAGCTTTAAAACACAAGGAATGGCTCTGCATGTATCTTTGTTACAGCTGTCAGCAGTTTAACCTCAGCGGGGCTGAGCAGTGCACAAACCCAGCCAAGCTCCCGCGTACCTACAAAGAGCACCAGGGCTCTGGTTTTCGGTGCTCCGTGGCACTATCAGGTTGTTGTGCCTTCAGGAGGATACAGAGCAGCACAGTCACTGTCCTGCCCCCAGCAGGGATGAGACAGGACACCAGCAGCTACCGCAGCAGGTCTGACCACGCACCCAGGGAGCCTCATCAATGCCTCAAGAGCACAGAACTGCAGCAGAACATCTCCACAGTTAACAATGCCAGGCAGCCCTGAGCGCTGCCACCGGCTGAAGCTCTTCCAATATTTGTACTGCATATTTCCAGAAACCTTGTTAACTAAAGCCCAGCATGTAATCTCCTCTTGATGTGACAAGCCACACTCAAGAAGCTGTTTAAGGCTGGAAATTCATCAGGTTGGACATGATAGAATCAGTAGCTGTAGCTGAATGAAAATGTCTTAAAAATCAGAACAATAACATGCCCTTTCTGCTTAAGAGGCAGAACCTCACCTCCCATCAAACACCAGGACCACTGACACTCACTGAACAGCTTCATAACAGTGAAGGCTGGGACTTCCAAATACGTAAACGACAGCAAAAGCTTTTGGCAGGTAAAGCCAATGTTACAGCATTATACAGAGTTCCTAGAAACTCACAAAGCTCATTCCAGGGCCCAAAAGCATTTTCTATTATAACTGGTTGTCTCCTATTAGCAAAGAGACACTTTAGTACAGCAGTAATGCCAATGCTATGGAAAAGGATGATTCATCAGCAGCTGAACGCAAACAATTCCCTCCTGGGTCAGTGTTCAGATGGAATAATGTCTTTCCCTGTCTCTCCCAAAGCTCTTTGTGAAGCATCTTTATGTGCCAGCAGTGTCCCTGGACTCACCACCACAGCACCACTTGGTCAGGAAAAGGCAGGACAGAACCCAGTACACAAGGGTGAAGCTTTGAACAGGTGAGGAGTTACAGCTCTGTACACACCATCTGACTTTGCTTTGGAAGTCGATGGCTTAGGAAGTCTTTACAAACCAGTGCCTGAAAACGTAATGGTCCACGTTGCAGCAGTTCCTAAGTGCAACAAGAGGGTTTGCACAGCAAAACCTGTCTAAGGCCTGGTTTATGATTAAGTCTAAAGTTCTGGGGGGGGGGGGAAGAGTAAAATAGAGTTCTTTCTTTGTCTAACAGCTCCTGCAGCCATTTCACAGCTGCCCAGGGCTTAAACACAGCCCTGCTTGTTGTGAAGGAAACAGCGTTTGTACTCGGCCTCCAACAGGGATCTGTGCTCCCACAGGCACCGTTGCAGTTGTGTTTGCTGCAGAATGAAGCATCTTCAGCATCTTCTCACAGCCTGTTCCAAGCAGCTTACCAGCTCCCAATAAGTAAAAAGCAACAGGTTAAATCCCAGCTCTCAGAAAAAGTGCACCCAACGCTATACTGAGTCGTCCCCTGTAATTCTTTATTAGAATCATGGATGAAAATCTTTTAAATCAATCTAAAAAAAAAAAATAATAATAATATTGGATCAAGGTACAGTACATGCATAAAATACAAAGTAATTTACAAACAGATCAAACCAGCATCTTCAGAACTAATACCAGGAGGAGAAGTGGATTTAAAAAAACACAAGTGACCGACTACAGCAATGCCTTCCGTGTGCCTTACACATCATGAGCACCGCGAGACAGAAAGGTTGGGTACGAAACGCAGCTGGTAGTGCCTTACCCAGACTGGGATGCTCCAAGTGGGTCCTATCAGAGCTTGAGAAACGTCCCCTCTAACCACTTACAGTCCCCATAATTGTATAAATAACTGCAGGCATTCATACAACAAACTGTTCTTTTAAACCCTGGAGAAAGCCAGTGCCCATAGCCCCCAAATCTCAGGATTAATGGCATGTTTAGGAAGAGCACATATGGAGTGAGATGCAGCAAGTGCAGTGACAGAAGGCACAGTTCACATATCCCTGAACAAGCTGATCCAACAGATGATCTGTACTGAGCCACTGACCACAGAGGGAACCCATCCAGCAAGGAAACTACTCTGGAGGTTTCTGTCAAAGAACAGAAACCAAACTACTGGGATAATTTGGAAATATTGGGTGAAACAGAACTGAAAACTCAGACCTGGTTGTGGAAGTTCATCCAGCACTGAATAAACTAATCTGTGTGGCATGTATTAATAAACGTGATATTAATAATGTGACAACATCCTTCAAGTTCCGTGAAAGAGAAAAAGGCATCCTCAAATCCTGACACCACCAGCACTGTGGAGGCCAAGTCTTGGGCAGCACAAAACCACACTGCAAGTTCCAGTGTTGGCCTGACCCTTAATCCATTACACAGCTCGTGCTCCCACGTTCTTCCCAAGGGCCCCCTCATGTGGAGTCCCACCAGGCTCCCGCAGCTCTGCCTCACATCACAACCTCCTCTGCAGCAGGTGCCAAACCACAAAAGCTCACTCACAGGTTAGTAAGAACCCTGCTGCTTTTTGGCAAGAAATTCTCTTTTCTCCCCCATAATATTCTATTAAAAAAAAACCACCCATATCCTTAACTTGACTATCTGAAGATGTAGCCAAAAACATTTAACTTACATTAAAATTGCACTTCAGAGCAACAGGCGTTTCACCAAGCTTTAGATGCAGCCAAGGAAAGATGATCCTGCTCAGAGATATTTCCCCAGTTAACCTGACAGCAATCGCTTTGTGAGGAGCAGAATAACATCTTCTAGTGCTTACTAAAGGTGTCTGTGCTCTGACTAGCGGGCATCATGGTGGAAAGAGATGAGCTCAGCTCCAAACTATTCACTGACTCAAAACCGACAAGTCGGTGTTGGGAAAATACTGCAGCCATATAGAAGTAATAGATTTATAAACACTGAAATCAGAGTGTTTAAGACATGGAGAAATTGAGAAGGAATAAGCAGTAACTAAACACAGGAAAGGAACCACAAGAATTACAAATATATTTAAATCTTGGACCTGGGGAATATACACAGCCTTTTAGGAAAGAACCAGCGATTCTATATATTCTGACAGCACTGCATCTTTGGTTTGTTTTCAGTGGTTGGAGGGACGTGAATGGGAACCACGTTGTTGCTTGGAGACATGTCGTTCTCACGTCTGTCCGACATTTGCTTCTGGGACACGATACGATAGATCTCTGGAAGATGAGAAAGAGGCAGTCACTGCACACACACCAGCCAGACACCAGCAGGAAGCCAGCTCAGGGGGGGGGAAGCAGGCAGAAAATGTAGAAAGGTTTCCTATAGTTTTGGCACTGTGCAGGTAACGCACGGGAGCTGTCACAGGAAGTTCAATTGTGATGCTTTCTGTACACAGAAAATGTGTTTTTGGCAAAAGAACTGAGTTTTTCAACAACTGTTGTAATTCCTTTTTGATAAGAGCCAGAATTCACTGACTTCTTTGCTACGAACCAGAATCTGCCCCAGCGATTCCTCCTGATAGCTCCTGAGGCTCTGAGGACAGCAGCCACATTTGCTGACGTATCCATAAACAGCAGGATTAAATAGAACCACTTGTAATTTCTCTCCCTGCTAGGACTGCAAGGGCAGTTTCTTCTCTCTCAGCATGCCTATCACATACGATACCTCCCCTGTTATCCAAGCAGCTTTACGTGTTCAGAAAGGGTTGCTTGGGGCCCAAAAGAGGAGCCTCAGCCCCTCCAACAGCACACAAACTCACTGCCACTGGTGTAGCTGAACTTCAAAACTATGGAGAAGAAACATGGGTTCCAGATGAAGAAATTCCAGCATAAATCAGGGAGCACGGGTTAAACTCCTGCGCCTTCCCCAGCGCACTGCCACGTGGGGAACGCCGCACACCTGCACTGAAAGCCTTGCCCTGTTTCCTGGGATTTGTTATGCTGAACAGAAACTCGGAGCAGCTACGACAGCACTCACTTCAGCTGCACAGAAGAAAGAGTACGGCGTGCGTAGCACTTCACCCCCGGAAAGGATATAAAGGACACCAAAAATAGAAGACAGGGAACTCGCTTGCGAATTCGAGTCTTAAAACCACTAAAGTTTAAAAAACTAAAAGCTCGCTGAGCCTCAGTTTAACAGAAGAGATTGAAGTGACTCAGATTCAGCAAAAAGACAGCCCCGAAATGACAGCCTCACATCTGGTTCTTGGCACATCAGATAGGGGTGCTGGCAGCCAGCACATCAGCAGTGCCCGCAGCAGAACCCCGCAGTTGGGAGTCGATGCCTGCTCCCCGTCTGCACGCTCCAGCTCAGTGTCACAGCTTTCAGATTAGCCCAGGCTGCTGACAAGGGTGTCAGCACTTCACTGCTGCAGAGCAGGGAAGAGCACAGAGCACAAACTCTGGCAAAACAAAGCAAAGGTCCAAGTGCTTTTGGAGGTCTGAAGTCTCTTATCAGCTGGATAAGGACTGCCCAAAAACACACCCCGCTGGACTCCACATCAAAACACATCTTTTCCACCAGGAATTTGTCATGTAAGAGCTGTTTTCACTCAGAATTTTGATGAGCTGCTGCTTAGTGCACATCCTGACATCATTTCAGTAGTGGAAGTTGAGCAACCTGGTGCAGAGATCCTCCTTGCTGCCAAGGGCTGATCACACAGCTGAGCGCCTGCTTTTACAAGGGGAAGAGATGGCACTGAGGAGCCAAAAAGAGTCCCTGACAAACAAGGCTTGAAAACCTTGTCCTTGACACAATCAGCCTGCACTGATTTAAGCTGTCAACAGAGGCCAAGAGCTCCCCAGGAAGAGTAAGAACAGGGCTGCACACGTGGCAAAACACATCTGTCTGATACTGTGCTGTATCTATGGGCTGTACAAATAACATTGACCTCGGCAAGTGTCACTTAGAAAGAATCTGCCTGTTGGGCCTCCAGCTGACAGCTCAGACAGGGATAAACAGTCCAGAAAAATGGGGTTTACACACACATCCAGTTACAGATCAAGGCACTGAGGCAACCAGACAAGCTCTGCACGCGTAAAAGGCTTTTCTGCTTTCAATTCACTCTTCTGTCCGACAGCCTTAGACACAAACAACTCCACAGGTGAAGTGAATCCCATGAAGTGAGGTCTTTAAAGCCACCTGCAAGCCCATGTGGGAATCCACAGATAAAGATCAGCTTGGCCCTGAGTTGAGCAGAGTGCCCTGGGCAGAGGTGGGAGGAGCACAGCCAAAGAGATCTGCTCTGCATTCTTCAGGACAGGTTTTCCTGCGCTGCCACCCTGCCCCAGCTCAAGGCAGACACCCAGTTTAGCTCCAGGTGTAAAACCTGCCTGTTCCTATTCATCAGCAGAAGGCTGTTGCCACTCTTGTTACCGGGAATTCCCAAGTAGCACTTACAGCAGCAACAATTCCCCGTTTTCCAGAGAACTTCTTGAACAAGCTCATACTAGTCCCTAACAGAAGCTGTCACGCACTTCCTCCACTCCTGTAAAGCGAGGACTTACAACTCTGTGTAACACCTTCATCTTACAGCAAAGACCTTCAGCAAACAACCCTGAAGCCTCAAAACCAATCTTAACAGCGCTGATTTCTCTGCTGATAAAGAGTCTGTCCCTTCTGACTCTGGGAACTACCTCCACGATCCCCACTTCCCCAGCTGTCCCCTGCAGGGACATTTCACAGCCATGCTGCTTCCATCAGCTTGCAGCAGCCCCAGGTTTGCTGCTCAGTGTTGCTTCTCCCTCCTCTGCAGCACAAACCTGTGAGCAGCCACCCAGATGAAAGCCTTAATGGCTAAAACCTGCCTTTCCCTGCATCAGCTGCGCACTCTTTCACCACACACAGCTGTGATGGTGTGAAAGGGGAGGTGGGAACAGCTCAAACCTCCACTTGCTGAGGCAAAATGCCCAGCAGCAAAGCCTACACTGAAACCAGTCTGTACAGAGGAATGCCAGGCTAATGAAGACATGTGCTTTTTAATGAAGACACTACACTTTATGCTCTGCTCAGTAACTGAATGAGACCTTATTAAGAGCACATTCAGCAGAATGCATCACTGCATAATTGGTAACTGTGTGAGACAGGCCTTGCATGAAAGAGGGCTGGGAAAAAGTGACACTGCTGCCTAGGAGGAGCTTGTCCAGCCCTTGTCTGCTCAGCCTGAGCTAGCATTACATTCAGTCCCAGGTAACAAAGAGGAAATCCCTAGATTTTTTGATGTTAATGCTCTGTGATGTTGTCTCCTTGGAGATGGGATTCCTTAGAGATGAAACAGCAGCACAATGCAGCACTGGAACAGACAGCACAGAGCCAGGCAGGGAAAGGAGGCAGACTCCAGTTTACTTTAAGGATGCTTTATCCTGCTGTGAATGCTCGGAGTGCCTGGGATTATAATACCAGTCTCTCCTATTTGCCAGATGATACAAAGCAGCTTTGTGTGCACAGCAATCAGCCCCTGAAGTCTAGACATCTTGCAACAGGAGAATTTAGATAGGGACCATTACTCTAAGTCACAGAAGGAAAAGGTCCCCAAACCTTCATCTGGAGGTTCTTGTCCCACAGCAGGACAGGAAGCCCACTGGATGCAAGATGTACCCCCCTCTAAAAGTCCTCTATAGTACAGGGAGAGGAAGGAAAAGCTTTCTCCCCATTCTTCCACCTATAACAGCAGCAGATCACGTACTTAAGCTGTGCTAACTAGAAGGGATTCCTATTTCCCATGCCCAAAGCCATCTATTCAGAGTGGTTTAGTCTGAGAACACAGGTGTGGATAAGCCTAACACAACCACACTAAACGTCCAAGGGAGCTACTCCTGCAAGTTTCCAACACTGACCCAACCACACCAGCTTCAGTAGGGCTGCAGAAGAAAGGAGTTTTGTTACAGACCTTAGTTACAACACCCTGCTCATGAGAGACCCAGGGAGTTGTGTGCAGGGCATTAGGAGCAGCCTGGGATATCTCTTCAGTGCAGTTCCCAGCACTGCAAATACTAGCAGAGCTGGCGCAGCAGCATGCCCTGCCCCTTCTGTCAGCCACCTCTGTGCAGCCTGTGGCAAAGCCTGATGGCTTTACCAACTTCCTTCTTCAAAGGACAGCAGGCATTCCACCCGCAGGCACTATGCTTGGAGGCAGCCTTGCCAAATACAGGCTATCCAGGATTCCGCAGGGTCACTCCGAAAACCACATTCCTCAGATGACTGCTCCCCTCTTTCCTTCAAAGCAAATCACTAACAGAAGAAAGCCAGCTGTGAAGTGTTATCAAGAAGTTTACTGGCAGAACATTCGTCCTTAACATGCCAGTCACAGCCGAGATGGAGCCAACCTGCTGCTAATGCATTATTTACTTCATCTTTATCTCCCTGAAACAGGAGCTCCTGTCTGGAGCGAGCCACATGCCCACTAATCAGCAGAAGTGTTTCTTCCAGCACAGCTGAGCCAGCCCCTCCTGAACAAGAAGCCTGCTCACATGCCCAAGAGCTCTTCACCCAAAATACCATCACGGCAACATGCAGGGAGCACAGCGTTTGTGGAACAACAACGGCCTCAACAATCTGTCGGAGTCCACCGAGGGCAAGTTTTAATGGCTTGCTCTCCCGTTGCAGACTGCCCTCCCTTACAGAAAAACTAAACCAGGAAAAAACCCACATAATCTGCAAATTAGAATCCAAAATAACTTCTGAACAAAAAGTACTATTGGATGCATGGGAGGAGAGAGAAAGAAACAGCCCCGCCTGTGCCCAAGAGGTGAACTGCTTCCCCATGGCAACAACAGGGCATTGTCCGAGCGTCACACAGCTCTATGGAAGTAACACACACCCCTGGGAAACTTGCAGGAAACTTTCCACCTCTTCGGCATCACTGTCAGAGAACAGAACAGCCCAAGAGGGGATGGGGCCATTAAGTGACTAGCTCACACTGACTAGGACAGCCTGCCAGCTGCCTTAGGAGGTGATACGTTTCCAGTTCTGTTTTATTAGTGCTGGTGCTGAATGAGTATGAAAGTTAATTCACTAACCTTCATACGAGAGCTCTGATCTGCTCTGAACACTTGAAGAGCAAGCAGCAAGGCTGTTCTACATTACACACAGCACTTTCAGCCAGAATCTGACCTCAAAGCTCAGTCTAGGTGCTAATGAGAGGAGAGGGGCAGCCAAGGGCACATGCATAAAGGAAGAAGTTTCAGGTTTTAGCAGTTACAAATAAGCAACAAAAATGCCTTTTGTCCTGCGAAAAAAAAAACCTGTGCTCAAATTCACAAGCATTTTTGATAGGACTGACTTGAGGTAGGTGAAGAAAGCAGGAAATACAACAGGCATCCCAGATACCATCACACTGAGCCACTCCTTAGCCATCCACCCTCTGATGGCATTAGTGGTTAGTCATACAGGGAGTAAATGTGTAAGCCACCCTAACTTCTCCTTTTTCCCCTTGTGAATTTGTGCAATGTTGAATTACAACCAAATGACAACACTGAAGTTAAAAGGGAACCACATGGTTCAGCTAAGCAAGAAACCAACTTAAGTTCTAGTCCCAGCACTGAATGATGCAGCCAGATGGCAAACACCCCTACACGCTGTTTATTCATCTAACATACACTGTTTTGCCAGTGTATGGACAGGGGCACTACTGCTTAGAAACCCACTGTAAAAAACAAAGTAGAACCAGAACCTAGCAGAGGCCTCTTACAACTAAGACAAGAAAGAGATGCACACAGGCAGGTAATACTCCAGCAGCCTAACAACTCTCTCCAGTGTTAGAGTGTTCATTAAGCATTTCAGGAAATGCCAGAGAATTTACACTTTTATTACAGTAAATAATGTAATGGCTAAAAAGTATGGCTAAAAAAGTCCTTTTTGGTGTGTTCTTAAGAAAATGTTTAAGGGTTTAAATGGAAAGGAAGTACTTTTATCCACAAAGCCTAAAAGACACAGCATTCCCTGCTACATGTTACAGAGGCCAAAAGTCCAGCCAGGACTACTAATGAAATGACAACAACTACCCTGCAGCTCAGGAGTCACTATGTCTCATACTACCAGTAGTAGTATTGTTCAAAGGGAGGATCTCTACTCTCTCATCCCTTTTCCCTTGCCAGATGCTATGACCACCATTAAAGGTGGAAACAAACTAGACTAGCTTCTCCTCTGATAAACAATGGGTGTTTTGCTTGCATGAGACAGTTCCCTCCTGTGGGCACTCCCTTACCATACACAAATGGGAAACTGAAAGGTAAGCTAGGCTGAGTCTGACTAGAAACCTGGGGCAGATCAAAGTGAACAAGGATTCATTCCTGAGTTCAAGGCTGGCCTTTTAACTGTGACTCAAAACTGGACTTCAAATCCTATGGCTGTGAAGAACGATTAGCAAAATTTTAACCACTTCATAGGCAAAGAATTGCCTATTTGCATCATATCTGAGCAGCCTTCTGCCCTTCCCCCTTGAAACACAAGGCAGGAGATGACTCACCTGTCAGAATAGTCTGGAAAGCTGCTTCCACATTTGTAGAGTCTAAAGCAGACGTCTCAATAAATGACAAACCATTCTTCTCTGTGTGGACAGAAACACTACAATTAGAGGGGTACATCATGTATCCTCTGTACCAGATTACATGTGTAGTGTATAAGAACTCGTGGGGTTTTCCCCCTTACATGCTCTGAAAGCAACGCCACCCAACACCAACAGGGATCAGCCCAGTGTTACTTTGAGGTACATCTTCCTGCATTAGTGAAAGTGAGAATTGGTTGCACCTTCAAGAATTAAGCGAGGAAGATTCCTGGATTTCCTTTAACCTCATCAAGTTTCTCCACCTGCTAGTATCTGATGGCAGCTATTTAACAGTGATAGCCCTATGGGGGAATGACAATCCTCCACCTGCAGGCAAGGATCCTTTCTTTACAGGGATGTTTTAAAATCTTAAAGTGCCTCTGGCTGACTCTTGTAACCACATCAGCACGGATGTTTTACAAGGCTTCTTTTTTGACTGAATTAAAGAGGCAAACCCTGGCATGTGAACTGAGGAACATCACCAGCAGCACTTTTTCCTCCTACCAGCACACTGGCATAGCTAAGATTCCCAGACAGTTTGCAGCAGGAAATTACTTTGAGTTCACCGACCTGCAAAAGCTCTGGCCTCGTCTGTAGGCACTGCTCTCAGGTGGCGCAGGTCACTCTTATTTCCCACAAGCATGATTACAATATTGCTGTCAGCATGGTCCCTCAGCTCTTTCAGCCATCGCTCTACATTCTCATAGGTGAGGTGCTTGGCAATGTCATACACCAATAATGCCCCTACAGCTCCACGGTAGTACCTGTGGGTGAAGAGATGTCTTAGAGAACCAGCAAGAAACATCATGATTAAAAGTGACAAGTTAGACAAGTTACTGTGCAACAATGGAAAATAGCTGTTACTAAGACAGCTATACAAAAAAATATCCAGATGCAGGCTATGTGGGACTGGAAAGAGTGAAGCAGAACATTCCAAGTGGGGCTATGCCACAGTACCACCAGTGCAGCCAGGAGAACTCACAGTCTACAGGCAAGCCAAACCACACGTTTGTGAGGAGAACCCTGCATCCCAAAATGAAGCTCTACAATCTGTAGGGAGCTACTATCACCTCTAACCTCTGATCCACTCCTGAAAAGTCTCCCCACCCATTGCTGTGGGTGCAGTACAGGCACAGCCCGTAGTGAGAGAGATTTCAGAATGACTCACTGGATCATAAGAACGTCAATGCGATCTATTCCCTTTACAAAGGGCCATGGCTGGTCTCCTTTCAGACCAGAGAGAGGCACAGTAAATCATTCAAAAAGAAACACGCTGTATTTCCCACCCCACAACTACCTCCAGCTTTACCCAAATCCAGCTTTTGCTATGCTGGCTTTTTCCAGTCAAAGAAGCACACAAAGTGAGCAGTCTTTCCTCGCTGCTGCAGGAGAGTTTCTGGTCTTAGGTTACCACTGACAAAACCTTGGTGAACACTGATAGCACCTTATCAACTGCTTGCATTGAAATGCATCCCTCAAAGCTCTTACGTTCTAGGCTTGAAATGCCTCCAGCTATAAATCATGAGAGCACTGAGAAATAAATCAGTCTGTGCAGGGACACACTATATCAAGTTTATGATCCACATAATGTTTAACCTTCCTTCCACCATAGGTTGTGGGTACCACATGGTAAAACACAAACCCCCCCTGCTTGCAGTTTGAAGAATCAGAAGGGCCCAAAATGACCCTCCTCAGCAAAAGCTTCTCTTCAGCCACACAAGGTGTCACTTACGCTGATGTGATAGCTCGGTATCGCTCCTGTCCTGCTGTGTCCCATATCTGAGCCTTTATTGTCTTCCCATCAACTTGAATGCTTCTTGTTGCAAACTCTACTCCAATGGTGCTTTTGCTTTCCAAGTTAAACTCATTGCGAGTGAATCGAGACAGAAGGTTACTCTTGCCTACTCCAGAGTCTCCAATAAGTACAACTACAAGACAAAAATGACATAAGAATCAGATTCCAGATGTAGGTAAGCCATTGACAATAACCTGCAATAAACATTCATTTTCCTGAATGAAACATGAAGGAAAATAATGGCAAAACCACCACCCTTGTCATGGATCTACTGTCCAAGTCTTGATCTTTCTAGAGAACCAGAGCTGCCACATTCACCAGCATTTTGAAGAGACATTAGATTTGACTTTGTGACATTTCAGTCTCCTTTGCCCAACATGGAAGAACATTCCTCCTCCAGGAAGAACATATATGGCTGTCACTGCAAAAGCCAGGGACTGTTCGAATTTCACATCTTAACACTAGAACTACAAGAGAAAACAACTCCACACGACACAACTGAAATCTGTTCTGTTGAAGAAGCCCAAAACACAGGGCAAGCAGCAGCCTCTGCCTTCATTTTACGCTCTTCACACCTTTGCAGAAGAGAGGTTCCCCACTGGGGCAGAAAAACTTGTGAATAGAAAAAAAGAACCAAACCCCTAAAATCACAAGATCACCATCAACCCGATGGCCAGGTTAAAGTGTTAACTCAGCCACAGCACTACCCTGCCGCAGTCCCTCACTGCTGCTGCAACTGCTGGCTGCTCCAGGTCAGCCTGAAACTGCTCTAAAATGCTGCCAGGATATTGCTGGGCCTTAGAATTAGAGCCACCATCCACATCCACTTCAGTTTGACTCATCATAGCACCACTGCCAATCAAACTAATTGGAAGGATTCAGCTACGCTTGACAAGAAATAGAAGGTTTAAAGTCCAGCTCCTACAAGGAAGAAAAGCATCACGAGGGCTCGCTGCAATATCCTGTAATGTGGAGTTGAAAGGTGCAAGTTTAAGTGTAACTTAAAACTCACTACCAAGATGCAGGCCACTGGATGAAACACATTCACAACCCTGAGTCACACCAGCAGGAGCCTCTCTGGATGATCTCATGCCCTTAAAGATAAGGTAAGCAAACCAGTAATGGAAGGTAATAAAAGGACAAGTAAACTCCTTGAGAAGATAGGCTGATTAACTTAAATTCAGCAGTGATTCAACACCAGTCCAAGCAAACAAGTGCTCATCCAGCTGACAGGAAAAAAATGTTGTGGCTATGCTAGTCTGGAAAAAAACAACAGGAATACTTGCTCCATAACACCCATCATTTAGCAGTTAAATCACTGCAACACAGTGCTAAAGATTGTGTGGTACAACAGAGAAATGAGTGCCCCAACCACACTCCAATCACCTGAGAAACCTCCCCATAGAGCTTTAGTCTAGCAGTGCAAATACTCCCATCTGCTGCTGTGCCACACAGCAGCCCTCAAACAGCATCTTGTGTTTAAATAATGCAGACCAATACTGGCAAATGGGCTGTTCTCTGACTGCAAGGGCAGAGCAGAACCTTTTAAACACCCTCTCTAAAATGAAAATTGCAGCAAATGCTCGCTTCAAACATGGCCTTGTGGAGAACACTTCATCACAATAAAGATCTTCCCGGCTTCCTCTGCCAGCTGACTCAGCACACAGCCGGCCAAGATACAGAGGTTGCATAAAGCCCCGAGTGGCTCTGCTAACCACTTCTGTTTATGAAGATCACAAGTGCAGGTAAGTGGCAAGCAGGTATGCTGAAGGCAAATAGGATTCTGCTGTCCTACATGACAGGTCAGCACTGTTCGGTGTCAGCCGCCCTCACAGAGCTGAACAGCTTTGCTGGCACATAAGATGCTAAACAGTAATAAACTTAGTGCAGGGACAAGGCATCTAACTGCATCATCCCCACCTGGCAAACTGCCACTGCTTTCCTCTTTCCTTGACAAGTAAGTTCTCCAAGACTATTTTGGCAGGTTTAGGCAACATCATATTTATATTCACTGGGAGGTGTTACAAACAGCAAGTTCCTTAGAGGCAAAAGTTATCAACTCCCTTTGCATACCTCAGTCCGGCTATCACCAGCATTAGTTTTGACAGCAGCCAGAAACTTCTCTGAACAAGAAAAGCAACCTACATATATAATCTCCTTTTCCCAACAGGAAGCATCATATATCTGTTAAGTTTTCCCCTCAAACATATTTTTGTTGTTCAGTGTATATTTCAGATTTAACAATAGATTATTCTGATTCCTCTTTTTTCCTTACCTTGTCTGGATGCCATGCTGCTTATGTTCTCAATGGTTTCCAGCACCAGATTAATATGTCCCCAATTAAAAGGGGAAAGTATTAGACTTTCCTCTTTGGAGTCAGCTATTTCCTCTACTTAATTGGGCCACTGCGGTTCCTCTTGAACAGGGACAAGAACAGTTTGCAATGTCAGCAGGTACCCAAACCTCCTGCCAGTCTGAGCAAGGATCACAGCTTAACAATCACTCAGACTGTATTATTAATTTTAATCTTGCTTTCCCTATCAAACCACCTCATTTTGATAATTTATACTATACAATATTCCCATGCATTATATTCTTAGCATAGAAACACAGTAGCAATGATCCTGGATGACTGAGTCCCAGCCTAACTATGCCAGGCACCCAGTTTCTGGGAGGGAAATGATGTTATCTAGTTCCAGATTAAAGCTAATTGTTCTGCACGCACACTTTTATTGGGCTTTTCTTCCACTCCTAATGGTTAGAAATTGCCTCCTGATTTTCAGCAGAAATTAGCGGTCAGCTCATGCCGCTGTTCACATGCCAGCATTGTCCATTAGCTTATTAGCTCCTTCTCCCTACGGTGTTTATGCTGGGGTATTTACAGAAAGCAGCCACATCTCTGGGCTTTGCTCTATGAGCTAAATAAGCCAACTTCTCAAATGATTCCTTATAAACAGACTGGCCGTTTCCCAAAATATTAACCCTGCATGTTTTTCAGTTTCTTTTTCACACAGTGAGAAGAACTGCACACATCATTTTAAGTGTAATGTATACAGGGATTTTCATATTTGCATCTCTAATAGGTATACCTGGATCTGGAATTACCTTCCCTGACCATATCACCTTGATGGCTCAGTCTCCCTGTGATCAGAGCTAACTGTTCTAGCTTTAAGTTGGCAAATGTCTACTTTACCAAACTCCAGTAAATCCCCAGGCAGAAAAGCTTTACATCCTGAGCCCCACGTCATTTGGAGGATCGCAGTCGTCATCAGCACACAGGCCCCTCCAGGGCTGTGCTCCAACCTTCCTTCTCCTGTACCATCGTCAGCAAAATCCTTCACTACATCACCAGAGGAAGAAGGTCCAGGGGAAATATTTAAGCGAGTTCAGCCACAAGACACAGCCTTGAAAGCTTCCATCAGTAACCTGCTTTTGGACCAGCACCTCCCTTACAGGAGAAGCACCTTAGAAAGCTTTGCAGAGATTTGCACTGGCACATCCTGAAAGTCATGAAAGTGATCTCCCTGCTCTGAGAGACTACTACCAGGCAGTTAATTCTTATTGGTTTAGTGATGTTTGCAAGTATTGAACTGGCCCATGTTCTTCAAATTGATGCATTTGACTATCTATAGCATTCACCACCCCAAACGTTTAAGACAAGGATTTGGTAGAGAGAAAGAGAAGAATAAGAGTATGAGGAGTCCACGCTACTGTATGAATTTCCTTCTGTAATTCCAGATTTATTTCTGTAGAAGACCAAAATAAGAACTCAATTTCCTAACTTCCCTGAAAAGCCATTGATAACTACATCAAGAATGGATGATTGATTTTTCACCAACACTCCAGCTCACTCACCCCACTTTAATTTCTGTTAAACCTCCAACTTACTTGATGTTTTCAGAAAATACTTTAATTATCCCATGAAATACGTTACTTCCAACCTAATCAGGTTGAAAATAGAAAGTCCACTGTCACTAGCTTGTATGATCATTGGTAAAAGTTATTATACAAGTGATATATTACCCAATTTAAAACAAGTGCATAAGTGCTAGGGAATTAAATGCCTAAAACCGCTTGTCTCTGTGCTGAGCTCTGCTATTAAAACACGTATTAATTAAGAGCCTGAACACATCTCCATGAAGAATCTGCTGATGAACATCTCCTGCCCACTTCAGTTGGAGTTTAAAGGAAATGTGAGTAATATGACCTGGTTCTGCACGTTGCAGGTAGCTGGTGATAAACCATTAATCTCCCTCCTCACCTGTGCTCCCCTGTTTTTCTTGTCATAGAGGGAACTAGCATCTCAAAGTCACTTTGGGGTAGGGGTTGTTTGTTACCTGTACAGGCTATACATAACACAAAACTGGGCCTGCAAAAACCTCTGTAGTAAAATGGCCAAGCTGAGAGGTTTATTATAGCAGAAAAGTGGGAGCAAAAGGCTTGCTACCATTGTAAAAGCCAATAGGTGCCTTGCAAGCACTTTCTCCCACAAATTTCTCTAAACAAAACACACTAAAAGGATTTCAAAATCCCAAACCAACAAGTTCCGTTTCAAAGCATTTCTTCAATCTCAAAGGGAAAAGCTGGAGAAATTAACATGATGCAAAATAGGAAGCAGACAGCTGACACTGGAGCTTTCCCTAACAATAAGCTGAATGTCACCACAAGTCAGGTCTGCATTCAGAAATGAGAAGTCTGACCATCTGGAACTCTGGACCTGGGATCAAGGTGCAGACATAACCCTCTTAGGCTTTGTCTATAGGAAACACAAGATACCTTCTACAGGTGACGGTTACTATAATAACTACTCATCTACTGCAAGTATAGAAATCAAAAAGTGTACAAAGTTCCTGCATTTAAGCCAGGCTTAATTTATTACGTAATAATGTAAAATCCTTATATTTCCTCAAACTGGACTTCACAGGTCTTGTATTTCCTCAAGTGCACTGCTGGGAACAGTGGGCACTGCTCTCAGGTAAACCCCCAAAGTATGGAAGAATACAAAGACGTGTAGCTAGACAAGAATAATTTACCAGGAATTGTCTTTTTACAAGCTAGGCACAGGCTTGAGCATATGCTGAAGTGTGGCAACAGAGTCAGGAGAGGGGTATTTTGTAACAGGAGCTGTGATTTTATCATACAGCAGCAAAGGTGGGCTCAGCTTACACCCACCAGCAGTCAGACAGATTTTGACACATAGCTGCTGTCAGGACAAAACCAAAGCTCTCACCTAAACAGACACATGGCAGTTCAACTTGAGAGTAGTAAGGGACAGCTAGACTAGAAAATATCACCCAATTACTTTAAATCAAGGCAGGGTCTGAACTCAGTCCCACCAACCTACAATGTCCCTTCGGGTTCATAAACCCAGAAGAACTGTCCTACTGGATTTAACGTCCTTACAGACCAACACCCCATCTGACTGTCAAGAACTGATGTCTGAGAAATATTAAGTGTAACAACAGGTTAATCTTTGCATCTGTCTAGATGCAGGCCCTCGCATCTGGAAACACTCAATACCTTCAGAATTGCCACTCTATCCATCACACTGAAACACCCCAACAGCCATTTTTCTTCCTCTCTAAACTTGTGCAGTCTTTCAAACCCATTTACAGAATTTATTGCAATGCACCTCTCCAGAATTTGTATATACATCTGTAAGAATTTATGTCCTTTTGGTTTTGCCTGCTGCTCAGTAAAAGCAGCATTACAGACACCCATGGAAATCATGACAAACAATAGACTTTTCCCCTATTTGCCCTAATCACTCACCGTTTTAATTTTTATAAAGTTGTAGCACCTTATCATTTATCACAATATTATTTTGATTCTCTTCTCCATCTTTTAAACCTACAATATCCCGTTCAAAATGGATATGCCTATCCTGCCTACATTTCCCCTCCATCCCCACGATGTTCGTGCCTGAGATTCAAACACAAGCTTAATAATTATTCATTACCTTGAGTTCTCATTTCCTTTTCCAAGAGTTTTCACCTACCTCTCGCCTTTTTGACCAGAGCCTGGCTGAGGGGACATTCATTTCAGAGACCTACTCGCAATAATTTCAACAGCATTCAGGAGTGCTGACAGCTTGTTTAGAACCTCTGGGAAGTTACAAAAGTTTCCAGGACTTGTATTATTCTGCAGTTGTGTTATTTCAGCTGACCCATTAATCCCAGTGATGTGACATTGCATCAATTTCCTGCAGTCTGCTTTAGCTTTGCAAAACCCAAATCCCTCATCTTCACGCCACCGTTTTCACAGCATTCTTTGTGCTCCCGAAAGCTTGTATAAACTACTTTAAGCAGAAAAAGCTTTAGAAGGGGCAATTTATTAAACTAGCTTTGAATGCTTCTATAAAACTGGATCCCAACTGTATTATTTCCCAATTATATAAGGAAGCAGGTCTAATAAAAGCTAGGACCTTTCCCAACAAACTGCATCACCAACATTCCCAGGCCTTGACTGCCAAAGCATTAATTATAAACATCCTGACAGAATGGTATGAACCAGTAAAAGTGCTGCAATGGTTATGATAACTCATAAGTACCTACAGTAAGATTGCTCAATGTGAGTAAACTAGGGGTCAGCAAGGCCCTTGCCAATGCTGCAAGCTGAAAAGCTCGACCCTTGGTACTTCCTGATTTGGTTTTAACAGCAGTACAGATGACTGATTTATAGTTAGGAATAACGTCACCTTCCACATGGCAATTGGATGAAAGAGGCAAAAAGAAACAACTAATTCCTCAAACTTACTACAGGAGTTGAAGTACAGAAAAAAAACCACGGATGTTTCCTTTACATTGTTTGCACAATGACAACCACGGAGTCTCTCACTACTGCAATGTAATGAGCAATACTTTAAGTCCTAAACTCAAATATGTAACAATACCATAGCACAAACCACCCTTTTTTGCAATAATTTGCTTGCTTTTGCAGTAGGGTTTCCAAAACTGGACAGTCAACTTCAAAACATCAGCTGTTCCATACACGTTTCACAGCATGCTTTAGGAACCTGCATGGCAGCCTGGCATTTTACTCTGCAGGGAGTGAGACCTGAGTACTTAACTACAACCTGCAACACTTTAACCCAGCTGGATGCAGGCTGGAGGAGCATCAGCCCTGGAAAACAAGGAAACCTTGCCCCTCTCTGCTGGGCACCTAGGATAGGATGCAGCATCGCTGGGTGTGAAACAGCAGTTACATCCACCCCTCGCACAGGGCTTGGAATACAGCAAGCAGTGAATAACGCTACTTTAATAAATTAGCTGCATCATCTCCCAACGCTGAGCACATAACTCCCTTTACAGCCCTGTTTAACAGCTGGAGACGGAAGTAGGCCTTCCGAACCCTCACAAACGCTCTGTGCTCGCCACCCCAGCAGGCTGGCATCGCCTCGGCCTGTCACAAAGCAGAACCCTTGGACAAGGCAGATCAGGGCGAGGAAAACCTGCCCGGATCTGACACTCCCGGGCCGAGCGCTCTCCGCGACCGAGCTCCACAAACACCCCCTCAGTGCCCGCTGATGCCCGCGGAACCGCAGCCCCGCCTCGCTCTGGCAAGGCCGAAGCGGCGCTGCCAGGGGTCTTTCCCCGGCTTCAGCGAACAGCAACCGGGGCCCGCTCCCCGCAGGCAGGGACAGGGACCGGCTGAAGCGGCGGGCGAGGCTCCCAACCGCACCCACACCGGAGGGAAGGTCGCGCCGTGAGGAGGCCGCTCCCCGCCGCCCGGCAAGGCCGGGACCCCCTCCGGAAGGTGACCCCTCCGGCTGGCACCGGGAAGGGGCAGGGCGGGGCGGGGCGGCCGTTACCTTTGAAGAGATAATCGTACTCGTCATCGCGGGTGCCCATGGTGCGGAGCGAGGCCGAGCCGAGACCTGCGAGCGGGAGCGGGAGCCGGACCCTCCCTGCAGCCGCCGCAACGCTTCCGCCCCCCCGCGCTCTGCCCGCCCTCCCTAGGCAGGTGGTTCCGGGGCAACGCGGCGCCGGAGCCAAACCGCTTCCGGGGGGGGAAGGGAGGGGGTAGAGCCGCCGTCCCGCCCACCCCGGCCTTAAACGGGCCGCGCTGAGGGTAACGGGGCCCACACACGCTCCGGTGGCCTTGCGGACCCCAAAGGGCTCCCGCACCCGGGGGTCACAGCCCCATGGGCGAGCTGGCCGCGGCAGAGGTGCTGCGAAGGGATTAGTGGCGGTCCGGAAGAGGGGTTGGCAGAGCGGTTCCATGGTGTAATGGTTAGCACTCTGGACTCTGAATCCAGCGATCCGAGTTCAAATCTCGGTGGAACCTAATCGTTTTCGTTCGTCTGTTTTTGGATTCTTCTGCCCCCATTAGGACCGGACGCACTCCCTCTCTCCAGGGGCTCCTGCCACCACAGGTACAAAAACCGCGCCTCGCCTCTGCTTTTGCTTGGCTCTCACCAGCCCTATCCCCAGCCCCACCATGGGTTCCCTTCCGCCTGCACAGGTGGGTGGTGGTTCCATGCAGCTGCCCACAGCCGCGGTGCAGCTTGGGGCAGGTTGGTGGGAAGCCTCCCGGTCGGGCAGATCCATCCTAGGAACTGGGCTGAGAGGGTCGTGCTAAACCCATGGAGCTTGAGGCGGAGGTGCTGGAGATGCCACTGAGCAATTTTCACAATGAGAACAATCAGCCTTTGGAATAATCTCCCCAGGTAAGTGGTGGCTTCCACAATGCTGGATACTTTTAAGGTTTGCTGGACATCTAGTCTAGGTCATGCTTTGCCTAGCAAAATGGACCAGATGATCTTTGAGGTCCCTTCCAACCTGGGATTCTTCCAGCTCATAAAGTGCAAAGGGGCTACAAGTGCAGGCCCTCTCCCCACCATCACACTGCTGCCACCCCTATTCTCCCTTCCCCAAAGGCAGTTCCCCTCATCTGCCTCTGTGCTGTGGGAGACACCACCTTTGTCATCAGCTTCCCTTGGCACAGGCTTGAGATGTAAATAGAAGAGGATAAAAATAGTGCTTGTGTCCAGCCCATAAAACATCTCTTTTTCCACCAGCTTGCCGTTAGCAGCAGCAGCAGTATGTTCACCATCTCTGCAGTCAGTGTCTGTTTTATCATTCCTGTGCATGGAAAGCAACCCCCGAGCTCCAGCAGCAGCACTGTGCATCAGTTACCATCTGCCAGAGTGATAACAGGCTATAACGTGATCCTCTGCGCTTAGAAACACATAGTTCACTCTGCCTCGGAGCTTCCGAGCAGGGAAAACGAAGCACTAGAAGACATGTGATGTCACAGCGTGTCACAGCACAGGAGCACAGAGGTGAGGTTGCAGCATCAGGGTCTAGGCTCATGTCCTGCCACCAGCCTCTGGTGTGCCCAGGCAGATTGTGCACCTCCAGCTTCTCGCAGGTGTACAAAACCCACTGAGCGCTCAGGGCTTCACATCCCCAGGACCCTGTTCCATGTGTCCCATGGGAATAACTGCATGTGCCGGTTCCCTAGGGTCATTGCAAGGACAGGCTTTGCAGGAGCAGAAACTTCCCAGTGTAGCAGCGAGATGGGTAGGAGTCTGCGTCATCTTTGGGTTCATCCTTTTTATCCCCAGATGAGCCCAGAACACCCAAAATCTTGAGTCTGAAAATGCTCATCCTGCTCCCCTTCTCAATCCTTCTGCATTGAGTAGGGCATTAAAATTGAGAATGGACAGTGTATGTGTAGAGGCTGGGGTGTATTTGTAACTCTGTAGTTAAGGTGTCCGTCTTGCATCCCATTTCCAGTTCTCCATTGAGCTTTGTTGTTAAGAAGCTATTAATTTTCACTTGATGTTTCTGAGGCCTGGTTTCATCCTCCAGAATTCCTGTTAGTGCTAAAAAATATTAAAATAACCCAGGCAAAGTATTTTTGGTTATTCTTCTGAAAGAGCGGTTCACCCCTTTTGGGGGCTGGATTTTTTTGTGAGCTTGAAAACCCCTGTTATTCGTATTTTTCATGTGTGTAAGTGTTGCTTCCTCTTGCACCAAATTGTTCTTCATCTGGAACTGGCTTGTCCTACGCAAGACTTTAGGGCATGAAATGAGGACAGAGGCTTTTCTGGCTGAACTAAAAATCAAGGTCCCTACATTGCCTACCACTAACACTTGTTGGACTTAAGACATCACAAAGCAGAGACATTTTTACCAAGCATACATCATAACAAAATGTTTCTGCAGGTTGGCACACAGATGAGCAGCAGCAGCAGGGGTTATTTCTAGCTAAGCCTGTTTGAACACATTTGATTGTTTATAATCAGGTTCTTCATGGTGAAAACTGAAACAGCAGAAAGAATTTTGCATCTAAACAAGAATCAACAGGCAGCAGGACATGCGGGTAGTGTTGGACTAGCAGGGAGCTTATAACAGGCTTCCAATACATAAAGGGGCCTAAAAGAAATCTGAAGAGGGGCTTTTTACAAGGGTCTGTAGGGACAGGCCAAGGGGGAATGGCTTTAACCTGAGATGAGATGAGCTCTTAGGTAGAAAGCTCTTCCTTGTGAGGGTGCTGAGGCACTGGCACAGGGTGCCCAGGGAAGCTGTGGCTGCCCCATCCCTGGCAGTGTTCAAGGGCAGGTTGGACACAGGGGCTTGGAGCAAGCTGCTCTAGTGGAAGGTGTCCCTGCCCATGCCAGGGGGGTTGGAAGTGGATGAGCTTTAAGGTCCTTTCCATCCTAAACCACTCTGTGATTCTATGATTCTATAAAATTAAAGTTTTATATTTTGTTCAGCCCTGGGTTAATTTTGCTCCTGTTCTAGCAAGCCCCAGATGAGAATATGCAAACCATAAGGAAATGTCACTGTCAGCGCAGACTGATTTTGGCAGCTCTGTTCTTTGTGTCCCCTCCTGGAGTGTGCTGCTGTGATTATGGGATGGCCTGGGACCCCTGCCATGTGTATGAAACACGACCAAAAAGCAGAGGTCAGGCCTGAAATAACAGAGGGCTGTGTGCTCTTCGACTGGCAGCTTTTAATGCGAGAAGCATCATTCAGCACTGGCATTTCTGCTGCATTAATTGCCATTACTGTCATCCTTGCAGGAACACTAAATTCATTGCAGACCTTGAATTAGCACTCTCTTGTAATTCCTCAGTTTGTAGTTAGACAGCCATTCATGGAGGCAGCACATTCCAAGCAACTGGAGCAGAGAGAAGGAATGATACTCAGCTGGTCCTTGGATGTTCAATTTAGCGAAGAAAAGAAGCAGAGGTCACACTCATAACTGCATATTTATGGGTCTGTTATGGAAATTCATAGAGCAGCTGCCAAGAAGGTCCCAGTTTCTGCCTCAGCAGCACCATTAGTGTGCAGATGTGTGTCAGGGCTATCAGCTCCACACTGCTCAGCCCCAGGGGCTGTGCATCAGGCTCTCCCTCTGCCTGATTCTCACTTTATTCTCCCCTTTCTCTCCTGCCACCAACTCCTGAGACCCCAAGGGAAATCCCAGCCTGATAAAGGGGGAAATGTGCCACCATCCTTGATGGCTGTAGCATTCCCACAACAAGGTCAAGGTCTCTTTCCAGAACACACCAGTGGCATTTGACACTGAAATAGAAGCATGTAAACCAGGGATGGGCAGTATTTGCTGCTGGCTCCTGCTTTTTTGTCTCTGAAATCCCTGTTCACTCTTTGCAAAGCCCATCACCTTTCGAAACTCAGGGAAAGATTAGGAACTGGCAATCACAATAACTCAAAATTGTCCTTGAGTGGCTGTTGACCCAAATTCCTGTTTCCCAGATGAAAGGAGCCACTGGCTTCCCCGGGGGCAAAAGGCAGAAAGGACAAATGTGAAGCCCCAGAACCTACTTTATCAGAGGAGAAATATATCCTCGGGGGAAATCCAATCAATACTTTGCAATTTTCTAACAATCCATGAATCATTGCAATTATGTAGAGATAATTCAAGCTTTCCGATCCAGCTGCTAAATTGGAGAAAAGCATAGCACTCGCTACCTCCAGTTTGACATGTCACTCAGAAGAAAAACCCCTTCAAGTATAAAATCCATCCACTGATACAAAAAAAGCCCAAACCCTGGACCAAATTAAAGAGCCTATGATGTACAGGGAGTTTTTCTTTTCAGGTAATTCCAACCAGAGGTAGGAATAATGCAAATGCACACAGTTGATAGGAATTTTTCTGTTGATAACTCACTTGGATTCCAGCATCCACTATATTATTTTTCTACAGCCCTAAAAAGAAAAGAATATATAAGAAGGAATGGACCCAATTAGACTTATTTTCTCTGTCAACCTTTTCTTTCCTAACCCTGGAGTTGGAATCAAAAAGGACCTGGCTCTGAATGGGGATCTAGCCAAAATCAAATCTCATCCCAGTTTTGCTGTTCTCTAGGGGTCTCTGCAGCACTGAAGGAAGAGTGGGAAGGGAGCAGCTCCAGCAAAATTAACTATCCTCTGGAGACGTTTTTTCTCTAGGACAGTATTATGGTCAGCAGAAAGGAAGGAAAGTTTTCAGCAAGCTTTGGGAACAGGAATCGAATATAACAGACTTGATGACTTGGTGATTCTTGCAATGACTGTCAAAATGAAGTCATCAGTTTCCTGCATCCATTTTGAACTCAACACACATCTCCTTGTCTGTGTCTGCTGCCTCCAGAGACATATTAGCAAGATAATACTGGCAGCTCCAGGATAAGTGCTGGCCAAGATACATAATTTCTGAGACACGGCTCAAAATCTTCTTCCTCTTGCCACACCCTGACACAGGGTTTTACTTCCAATCTAGGGTCAAAATCTGCTTGATACTGGTATCGCTACCAGACAAAACCAATGTCAACAACAGCAGTGCAAGCATCGCTCATCCCATCATCTTCTAATTTGAATTCAGAAGATCAGCCCTGGGGAATGAAGAAGGCAGTCTGAATTCTGAGGCCAATTCATTCATTTCTCAGATATCCAGCGGAGGGGCTGGCTGTGCTCAGCATGGTGATGCTT